TAATACATACTTTTTCTTATCCATAACATTTAATATTAGTTTATTTGTTTTTTCATCAGATGCATCTTTTCCATAATATTTTTTATGTATTTCTTTTTGAACTGGTGAAAGCATATTCTCACTAACACTCATAATTTCTGGTGCTAATGGATAATCTCTATGTAAATCATGTAATTCTTTTGGATATTCTAAATCAACTTCTAAAATATAGCCTTTGTCATCATCATCGCTATAACTTAATACTTTCTTCTCATCCATCCTTGAAAAATACCAATTGAAATTATCAAACGGTAGTTTTTTACTCATAGCCAGACCATACAAGTTATTAGCATCTAAATAACTTATATAACTTGATGGTTTTGACAAGTCATATTGTTCATTCATGTATTTATTATTTGCTTCTACTTTTTTATGAGCACATTGAGTCATCCCGCCACGAAGACCTTTTTCAATCATTTCATACATGTCTTTATTATGTATTTGTTGAAGTCTAACACCAGTAAGAGATAAGAAGGCAGACCACGAATAATTAGGTAATGTTATGTAATGAGCAGGGTCTAAACCATAATAATTTAAGCACATATCCCTAAAGTTTTCAAAAACATCACTAAGCAAATAAACATCTGTCATCAAATATAAATCATGGTATTCACCTAGGTTTTTGATATTGAAATTATCCCATATTACTTTTGCCCTTGTGTGTTGTGTATCTGTTATGCCTTCTTCATATAATTGACTGTAAAAGTCTTCTATACTTGGTAATTGCGATTCATTGAATTTATCAAATGAATTCATGTAGTCGTAAGGATAAACTCCTTTTTCAGTTAATAAGTCTAAATCGGTTTTATTTCTAATATATGGATTTGCTGATGAAAATCGGAAATTATCCTTCCAGTCATTCCGCTTTTTATATATAGGTTTATCATGTTCATCTTTACCTACTATGTCATATTTATTTAACTTAACTAATTTATCCAAAGATGCTGAGAGAAAAGCCATGCTATCTTTAAACTGTAATGAACCAAATGAAAATGTAATAAACTTTTCGCTATTTTGTGCTATTACATCTATTCTCTTATTTTCGTTCAATTCCTTATTTATTTCATTTGCTTTGCCTATTATTAAGTGAGAGTCATAGTTTTTTAAATTATGAAAAAATACTGGTATCTTGAAATATCTAAATGAATAATCCAAATTACATTTTTCGTGAGCACAACCTCTATACTCACCAGTAAAATGACAGTGGTCTCTGACTTTTGTATCTTCTGGTTTAAAATTCTTATTACATATTGAACATACAGTAGCTTTTCTAAATTCTGCTTCTTGTTCATCTGTAATATCCATTGGTTTATTAACATTCATTTTATCAAAAATATCTTTTTTAATTTCTCTTAATTTATTTACAAAGTGGTCTAAACAATCCTCTCCACGGTATAAAAAAGGTTGACTTGTATTATCAATAGAATTTACAACATTCAACATATAACCGCATGGTTTATGTTCCTGATACGTGCCCTTGATGCCATTATTTGAATTTACAGTTATACACTCAAAATCTCCATAAACAACAAATGGACATTTTAATTTTGTATTGTATTTTTCAAATTCAATATAACTACCTTCTTTTGGTAATTTAAACTGTTGTCCATGTGTTGCCATACAACCAGTTTCATAATGTTTTGTTAATAAATCCTTTCTAGTAAAGGCATGAGAACAATAATGACAATAATGTTTTGGTTGGTCATTTTTGTTTGTTTGCCAGTTCATTAGACGACTTAGACTTTTAATAACTACATAATGATTATTATTATTGATTTCAATTTTCAAAAGGTTTATTTGATGTTTAGCATCTCTTGTTTTAGTTCTGTAATCAATTATAATTTTCTTTTCATTCAAAGTATCATCAATTTCATAAACATTGATTGAAACTAACTTACTATTATTTTCTTCAAACCTTTCAATATCTTTATTACCAGTTGGAAATTTAACACCTTCCCAGTTTAAGATATTGTCATTTAATTTGTTGTAATGGAACATTTCTTGGGAATTTGATTTATTAATTATATCAAACACTACACTTTGAACACTATATTTAAAACATTTGTTATCTTTGTTTTTGATATTAATACATGCCTTTTTTAGTTTAATCCATTCTGGTAAATCTATATAACTACCCGCCCTAGTTGGGTCATATTTGTCATAATGGATTGTTATTGATAATATTTTTTTAAATTGTAAATTAGACGCTGAACCTTCTAGTTTCTCTATGTTCAATAAAATCTCTTTGATTGATTTTTCAATTGCTTCATCCAAATCGGTTTCATTATATATGTTTGCCCTTGTTGCAGGTAAATTATAAAGTATCTCTGTATGTTTTATTACTCCATCATCATCATAATAATGATAAAATAAACCTTCTGCCCTTATATTCAGTTTCATTGCTCTATTAGTTTTCAAAAAGGTCAAAAGTCAATCTTTTTGGTGGTGTATCATTGATAGTGCCTTTTCACCTTGAAAATGTTTATTTACTAGTTTTATAGAATTAGCATAACTTTTGAAAGCTGATTGTTGGTCTGTTACTTGGAATTTATTTTTGATTGCATATTTTGTCATTGCATTTTTCATTCTTTGTTTTAGGTATGTTGAGCGCAATGTTTTTGTTGCATAACTATTATACTCATTAGTTCTTGCTTCTGATTTTAATTTCTTGTTCAAAACATTTGAGATGGGGTGTTCTTTGTTGTATCTAAATTTTCTACCATCTATAATTATTGATTTTAATTCCTTGTTTCCTCTTTTTGGAATTTCCGCTTTATCATTATTCAACAGATAATCTATAACATGTTTCATAATACTATACTATATAAATTTAATGTGTTTATTTCTTTAAGTGACTTTTTAGAAAAATATACTTAAAGATTTAATACCTTAATATATTATAATAGAAATGGTTGAATTTACTAAAAAAGAGCAAGAAGAAATTATTAATGACTTTTTGAATAAAATAAAAGTTAATGACATTATCAGTAGTTGTAAATGTAAACTAATAAATGAAAAAACTGGACTAACTAAGTTAAATTTACCTAATCCAATTGTTAAAAACATTTGTGATTTTAATTATGTTGAATGCGAGAAATGTTTTTTATTAAGAAATGCAAAGCAAGTTTTACATAAAAGTAATTTACATTCAACATTGAGACAATGTATTTATGATAAATACAAATTGAAATTTGAAGAAAATACATTTCTAAATGATGACTCATCATTAAGAACATATTGTTTTATAAAGTTAAATACATTTCCTACATATGAAAAAGTGAAAAAATATATACTGCAAGATAACGAAACATATATTTTAAAATTTTATAATGATATTAAATATTACTACGAACAATCATATGAAGTTAGTTATGGTGGCAAAACTGGAACAACAAGACCAATTGAAGAATTTAATAATAAAATGATATTTAAATTTATTGATGAGTATGATTTATCAAATAATAAAATTGAAAATGATTGCAAGGAAACATTTTTAAACTACATAAAACAAAGAAACCAAGAATTGAAAATCATAATTGATAAAATATGTGATTATATTAAGGATGAACAGAAGAACAATATAATAGGTAAATTAATATATGGTGATGTGATAAATGATATTAAAAGTGTTTTAGGAAACTGGGGCATAGATTTTTGCATTTATGATTTTGCTGATAGAAAATATCCATGTAAAAATAATAAACAGAACTTTAAACAAATACCAAAGATTACAAAGGAATATTTAAATACTAATGACTTTGATTAAAACCATACTATAATAATAACATGTAAAATCTTATATGTTATAATTATATTGAACTTATGGTTTGTTTCTTAATTTTACTTAATGCCTTAAAAATGACTTAAAGAAATATTGACTTAATATATTAAGAGGAAAATGAACGGTGATAAAATCAATAATTATATCAATAAAAAATGCTATGATTGTTGTCACTTCAAAAAAGAAAATATGGAATTGTATAAATTGAACTTACCTAATGAAATAGTGAATAATATTATTAATTATTCAATGGATGGTGAAGAAGACATATGTAAAAATTGTAGAAATTGGAGATATTATCAAGAATTAATCAAATGTCTGATGGGAATAAAAAGAAAAAATAATAGAAATGTAGAAGATGAGATTTTAATATTTCTAACTGTAAATAAAATACCACCTTATGATTATGTTAAACAGTTTCTTAAAATCAGTAAGAAAAAATATGAAATGATTTATGATATATTATGGATGTTGGGATATAGTCAAGAGAAAGGAGAAGATGTTAAAGAAAGTATCAAATTATTTATTGAAAGTAAAAAGTTTAATATTCAAAATACATTGAGAGATATTAATATTATTTTTAAAATGATGTATGAAAGAAGTAAGATTTGTCAATTAAATTATTATCCTGTACTGAAATTATAATCATACTATAATAATAACATGTAAAATTTTATATGTTATAATTATACTGTACTTATAGTTTGTAAAGATTGAAATATTTCATTTTTCCTTGATTTGGCTGACTCTTTCAAAGTGCGTTGTTTGAACTTGGTATGCTCTTTTGATTTTTTCGTGCTTTGGCTGTTTGTATTTTATTTTGTTTGATACTCTTCTGATATTTTTTGTTGGTATGTTGCTTTGCTTTTTGTTGATGTGTGTGTTTGAGTTTGTGTTCTTTGATGGTTTTTATTTTTGCTGTTTTGTTGGTATGCTTGTTTGAATTATTTAATGTTTTATGCTTTGATTAAATATTTTGTTGGGGGTTGTTCTGGTTTTTGAGTTGCTTGGTGGTTCTTATCTTGTTTTCTGTGAATTTTGCTGATTTTGTTGTATGCTGTTTGATTATTTGGGTTTGATGTTAGAAGTGCCATTTTATGTATTTTTCCCCCACCCCCCGCCCCACCCCAGCCCCACCCAGCCCCCAGCCCCCCCAGCCCCCCCACCTCCTCCGAGTTGCACGCTGGGCGCCGTGCTAAAGCGCCGCCGCGTGAGGCGCCATCCCCCCGAAAGCCGCGACGCCAGGCGCCGGGCCGGCGGGGTCGACATCGCGGGATTTTGGAGATCCCAGGCTCCCTCTGAAAAAGCTTTTGGCCAGATGTCGGACACCTCTTTGGCGCAAAGAGAGCCTCAAGGAACCCTGAAGATGACTGGCTCTCCTCTCCCAAGGAGCTTGGTTGGTTGCCCTGGTTGGCGCGGAAAAACACCTTGGAACCTTGGAAATGACTGCAAACCCCCCACGAATGCCACTCACTAACACAAAAGCGGCACTTTTTGCAGGGGTCAGGAAGGAAACAGAGCTTCGGGTCTTTGGTGTCACTTCCTGGGGGTGAATTGATGAACTCAACCAAAACACCTGCAAAGAAACACCGTTTAGAATCTCTGCAAACATTGACTCTAAAGCTGGCTGTCAGAAATCATCTCTTAGATGTGTTGGCCAAACCATGCCACACCAAAGAATGAACAACCACAAGACTGTTTGAACCACTATACATGCGTATCCCAACTGGCGACTGGGAGCCTTGACCGGCGAGCTAGGGGTTGACTGTGAGGAATTGTCCTTGCAAAGTTAAGGAGCAACATAGCATGTTTCTCTCTTTGCCGCGCCGCTTTGTCGTCAATGCTGCGGCCAGCTTGGAAACCCCTGGAAGTTTCTACTTGGCACCATTGCCCTTTGCACACCGGGACTTAAAAACTCCGAACATGACCTCATCGGACATTTTGCGCACTGCTTAGTTGGAGCTTGCTGCATGGCCCCTGAGGTGCACACAGGCATGCCTCGGGTGTTAGCACCAAATTGGTGTGATTGATCCCCTAAGAAGGCACCCCTGAAGGCTGACGACATAACCAAAACTCCCATGCGCATCCAGCCACTCCTTTCTTGGAGCGTGGTAAAAATGGTTCCCGAAATTTGGATGGTCCTATTTTTTGTCTGAACCAATTGGGGCCACCCGTTTGTGAATGGACTTGTTGCATGAGTGGGTCGAACACAACTGGGTGTGTCTTTTTTGGGCGGGTCCCTCCAAAAAATGTGTTTCCTTATGGCCTCCCTTTAAAACCAAAAAAACAAGTGTATCAAAGATATACACACCCAGATGCATCTTAAGGAGATCCTTTTCTCCCAACCCTTCGGCTCCTATGGGTCATGCCCCCGCCAGAGGGTTGGGGATGGTCCCAAGGTGCGGGCGACCTTCACCTCGACCCCCTTGTTTTTGGTCAGGGGTTGGAGTTCCCCGAATCAAAAGTTGATCAATTGACTGGCGTTCGTCAAAACGATCGTCACTTTCGGAGCTGCCAAAAAGCGAAACGGAGGAAGCCCTTTCAGCAACTTGATCTTCACCAGCGCTTCGAAGCACACGATCCAACCTCTTGGCACAAGGGTCATCCCTCTCCCCTCGCGCCATTTTGGCCCAGCCGGAGAAGAACGGGGGCACCCTTGCTCGAGAAGGGGGCACCAGTCCAAAACACCGGGCAGCGCCCCGGGATTAAAACAGTGGCGGGTTAGAATAACCACCACAGTCTACGTGAGATTCATCATCAAACTGGTTCCTTGCCATTCCAGCGGAGGTTGAACCCTGTGGATGGTTGCAAAATCCAGAAATCGCATCACTTGGAAACCACGGGAAACCACGATTGGTTGGTATTTGCAGGGGAATCGAATCATTCCAGGGCTGCTTAGGTGGTGCGAAATGGATTTTGTCCATCCACAGTAGGGCGGCCTTTCCCAGGGGGACCCGGATTTGCCTCCCCCTGAGCACCGCACGGCACCCGGCGCGCCAGCGACTCCCTGGAGAAGAAACAACATAGCCACAACCACGCCAGGGTGAAAATATCCTGTATATACCCTCCCACCAGCTAACATGGAACCTGTGGGAGGGTGCCTGGAAGATCCATTTCCTCTTTTTGGGACCCCCTGTCAGGTGCCACGTTAGTGGCAGGGAGGGCTTTCCCACCAATTGACACGGAACCAGGACGATTTCCCTTTCAAAGGGACCCCCTCTCAGGTTCCATGTTCATTGCCCGGCGGGTTGGGATTTGACATTCTGGATCTTGTAGAGGCTAAATGGAAGCCCCTCAACCAAACCAATCCAAACCAATGAGAGGGAAGCTGAAGTATATCACACCATAGCCAGATGCGAGCTTGGTACCCTAGTTCCCCGGATGTTGCTTGGAGAATGGAAGACGTCAAGGAGGGGTCACTTAGTTGTTTGTGAAACTCAACTTTGTCCATGTCCGTTGTTTGTGTTGGTTGTGTTGCTGCTGTTGTCGTCATGTTGCTGCTTCACCAAGCCGTTTGACTCCACTTCCCTCCCAACCAGTTCTTTTGGTTTGTGAAACCCTTCCGGGCACCTGAAATGGGTGTTTCCCTTCCCAGCATGGGTGATTTCCCTTTGGTTCCCTTTACACCAACCCGAAACATGGCATCCTGAAAAAATAGACACTCTCAAACGGCTGCTGCTTGCCATGGGTGGTGGTTTTTCGTGCCAGAAAATACGTTTCCCGGGCAGCGATTGTACTTGCGACTCTCGATGACACGCCCTTGGTGCCTTCATGCTTGATTTTTGCTCGGTCGCTTTCTCAAAAAGGAAGCGCCGTCAAAACCACTGGCGAGGGGCCAAGATCTCAGCGTCGCAGCAGTTGGGAGTCGGGAGCGGTGGTTTCGTCAACCACTCTTAAGGTCAGAAAACGCGAAGTCGATCTTGTCCATCAGGGGCTCTAGTCCTGTTCCACTTCAGACAAAGGGTTTTCTGGCTTCGACCAGTTCGCCCTCTTCTTTTTTGCTGGCTGGCCGGTGCCCGCCCGCACGCACGCACGCGCGTGAAGGGATTCCGCCCACTGCGTTTTTCGCCGCCCGATCTTCCCTTGCCCGCCTCGCGAGCGCTTTCTGCATGCGCCCGATGTCAAGGCTTCAAGGTGCCGGAATCCGATCAAGTGGATGGCATGTGTTGGATGGTGTTGAAAACGGAAACGGAAACCCGAAAAAAAATAAAGGGACACTGAAACTCTGTCTTAAACAAAAGAATCGTCGGAAAGAAACCAAAAGAAAACCACCGGAAACCGTGCGTGGATTTTGACGGCTCCAAACGCATTAGGCAGATGTCGCGATAGCCTGACAAAAAACCAAGTGACGAACCAATGGATTACCATCTTCTCTCTTTTTTTTGAGGGAGCCAATATGTTGGATGGTTTTAAAGGGAAGCCAACAGGAAATGGGCTTCCCATGCTTCCCCTCAAATCCACCTCCAAAAGGTGGATTTCGAGCCCTACGCCCTAATAAGGCCAGAGCCAAAGGGCGAAACGGCAAAAAGGCTTGGAGCTACCAAAAGGAACATCTCACAACTTGTGGGGTCCCCCGAAAAAGAAAAAAATGGAGAAACAAAAACGCCACCAGGACCCAGTTTTTGTTTTGAGAGGTCGAGAAACAAACACCCTCCTCCCCAAACTGCGGGGGTCAGAAAACCCGAAAACCAGAAGCTCCGGAGTTCTTCTGAAGCTCCCCCCCCCCTCGCAGCCCCTTGGACCTCATTTGAGGCCTTTGGGGGGTCAAGGCCTTCATTCGGGCGGGTTCCTGGGGTCCCTATGCCAAGCTTGCCAAAGTCATTGCTTCCACTTCTCAACTTCTCATTCGGTGGCGAAATCGGAGAGAAATCGCAACTTTGAAAAAAAGGTTGAAACAATGATTGGTTGCTATTTAGAGGGAGATCGAATCATTCCAGAATATCTCGGGTGGTGCGGGATTTCGTCCATCCACGGTAGGAGCACTCCACCCTGATGCGAAGTCAAGTACCACATGGAGACGTATTAAAATGTATCCTCTAAGTAGACAAACACTTGGGAAATGTCTATCCACAAGCCGGAGCAAGGCAACCCTGGGTGGGGGACATTCATCATCTGGGCCCGTCGCTCGTTTTACCCCAAGAGGCTTCTGGAAGTGTGAGCAAATGACACGCCTTCAAACCACAAGGAGGGTTCGATTGATGCCATTGGAATTCCAGCTGTCGCCTCCAGATCAACCATTCACAACACACATAGACCCATTGGATAGAATTTCCAGGGTTCACCCCTCCTTCAATCCTGCCAGTCCGGTGAGCTGCCAGACATTGTTTCAACATGGCTTCGATCCAAGGAATAGAGAACATGAACTCATGAAATGCCAAACAAAAGCTAGGAAACAAATGTGTGTGTTTTTGGGTATCCCCCAAAATTGTGGTGGGTGTTCCATTGAAGCCACACAAAAAAAGATACCCTCAAAAAAGACACACGTAAATACATGCACCCAGGTGCTCCCCGCCCCACCCCCCGACCCCACGCATCTTCATTGCGAGTGACTTTGCGCGACGAGTTCAACGCCCCGCTTCCTTCGGGTCTAAGTCTTCCCTCCCCCCCTCCCCCCTCCCCCGCCCCTTTTTCCTCCCTGTATGGTGGACACTTAGTGTCTATTTTGCAACTTCCTTCTTTTAGAGTATTGTTTTTTGTTGTTTTTGTTAGGGTTCATGGTTGCAAAATAGACTCTAGGTGTCCATGGCAACCCCCCCTCCCCCCCCCCCAGCCCCAAGTCCTGCCATAAATGGCAACAGCGCCTTGGTTCGCCGTTTTGGAGCCCATCTCGGCAGTCCGTTTTCTGATCCCCTGGAAGTTTCGATGCCGGCTGAACCAAAACCTAAAAACCTAAGAAACTTAAAAAGCCTAAAAGCTTAAAAAGCCTAAAAAGCCTAAAAACCTAAAACCAAACTCACCAACGAAAACCCTTAAAAACCTAAAACCCTAAGGGACCGGATGGCTAACGGAGCTATCTTCGGACTCCCATCCTGAAGCGCTACTCCGATCGGCTGTAGCCATGTCCCAGCCAAGTCGTCCCGGGTTTCATCGACGACAGGCAGCTAGACATTTCCATGGTGGATGGTTTTTCGGGATTCCCAGTCAATGCAAGCCGGATTCCCGCCGCCAGAGAGCGCACCCGCAGCTTTTTGCTTCTGGCAGCGAGCACGGATATGGATGGTGGATTTCGCAGGGGTGCTTCTCTATGTCTCCATCTTTCTGCTGAATCCCAGGTCTCACTTCACACGGTCTCACTCCTCATCTGCTCCTGCGACTTCCAGAAAAGTCGCGGAACAAGCTGCAAAAACCCTGCAATTTGCCATGGCCTTTGCCCGTTTGTTGCATTGTAGAGGTTGGTTTTCCTGGTTTGTGTTTGAGTCAGTTATTCTGAAAAAACAACATCGTAGGAAAGCTGCGGTGTCTATCTGGCAAAAGGATCTTGCGGATTGATTGGGAACAAACTAAAACAGGCGCCAAGGGTTCTCTTTGGGAAGCCCAAAACATCCTCCCTCGGCCTACGAGAAAGAAGTGTTTCTCGAAATGAGATTCAGACTCCCTTAAACAGAAAAGAGAAGAAGTGGGAAAGCAAACAAGCTTCGCTGTTGCCGTTTTGGGGGATCCATGGCTTCATGACTCATGCCAGCGTATGACTCGCAATCCGCAGTACCGCTCCTTGTTGGCTACTCTGCATCTCTCCTTCTTACATTCTTACCCTCCAAATGTCTATATTTTCATATATATATACACATACATAAATATATATATATATACAAACTCACCGCATCTGCAATCTACAGACACATCCTTCCCCCCCCCCCTCCCTCCCCCCTCCCTCCCCCCGGTTTCGGGTTCGGAGCTCCGGAGCTCCTGGCGCCCAGGGCTCGAAGAGCCCCGCCGCGCCCAAGTTCTCCGAGCAGAGGTCGCTGCCCCGCTTCAGCTCCTGCAGAAAAAACACACATCTCGCCGTCGCTTTCTTTTTCGCCGTCGTGTGTTTTTGTTTTTTGTTGTCTTCTTTTGGCTGTTTTCCCCCCCCCCCCCCTTTTTTTGTTTTTGTTTTTTCTCTGTCCCCCTTGGTGTTTTGTTTTTGTCTTCCTTTTTGGTCTGGAGGGGGCGGGAAACAAAACAAAGGGGTTGAACAGGAATGCCAAATAGAGTTCCCAGAATTGTTTCCTGCGGGTTGGTGAAAAACCCAAGTGCTTTGTTGGGTTGGAACTTTAAGCCACTTTTTTGTTGGTTGATGTTAAGCCAAGTGATTGTTGGGGTTGGTTTGCACAGGACACCAAAAGGAGTGGACCGCGTATCGAGTCAAACATTAGCAAAGGGTAGACTTTGTACACCAGATTCCTCCATCGTCATACCCCTGCCTACAAACGGGGACTGAATACTTGTCGTGAATCCTGGATTGTCATAAAGAAGGACGCTACTTCTGTGTGCTTCGCCCCGAAGGAATTCTTTTGAACAAATCGCGCTCTGGGTGTCTGGCTCCTGATCCTCTGCTCAAGTCCCGAAAATCTTCCCAAACTCTCGCAGCTAGCTTTCTGGCTTCCAGTTTTTCAATGTTTTTCAATGTGGGGATGCATCCAAAAAATCACGTGTGTAGTGGGACCTTGTCGTGCAGCACTGGAATGGTGTGTATAAATACATACATTTGTGTGTATATATATATATATATATCCTACGAGCCCAATCCGGGCCTTGAAAACGAAACGTGGATTCCCTTCAAACACCCACCAAACACGTGCTCTTGCCTCTTCAAGTGCGTCCTCAGTGGCACACAGCCTTTGTGGCGTTATGAGGCTCGCGATCGGAGCAAAACCGAAATCAGGGCCATACCTGTATGCTACTGTGGGAAAGAGGGACGCCCCCCTTTGGAGCTTTGGGATGCATCAGGTTTCGCTTCGCGTCAACTGAGAATATCGGACACGTGCAGTGGGAACCCAAAACTGCTGACTTTGAGAGAACCCCTCCTTTGAATGACGTCCGCAAGGTTTTTATTCACCAGGTGCGACGACTTGCGTTCGACAAACCATGATGGCATGAACTTTGAGTAGGGGTCCCTTTGTTGGACATCATTCATGAAATTCCATGTCCACCCCCCACTTTCGATGTGGTTCCATATTGGAGGTACAAATAAGTGTGTATATATATATATATATATATTTCCTCCTGATGGATAAGCCCAGGGCATGAAACCCAGGCACACCTCCCGCCCAACGGAGGATACGGGTCAAAGCGCGCGCCTCCTTGATGCGCTGGAAGCCTCCAAAGTCCCCCCCCCCTCCTCCCCCCTGGATTGTGCCCAGAAAAATTGGGAGGGGTCATCAAAAGGGTCCCCCCCCCCAACTCCCTGGATCCATTCAAAAGGCCGCTAAGGTGAAACGAAAATGGGGGGTCGCAAAAAAATAAATGGTCCAGTTTCAGGCTCAACAAAAAAAGTACCCCTGGCTTCCAAAAAGAAAGAAGCATCCCTGGCATCTTTCGGATTACTCGCCCGCGCAACTTCCAAAAATGAGACTCGAACCCCTCCCTTGTTGGCGTAAGGAGACCAAGACCGCCTGTGGCGTCCCAAAAAGATGTCCCCCTGCCAAAAGCAGCCAAACTGGCTGCTAATTTGTGGGGAACAGTTTTTTTGCAAAAGATTAAGGGTCGAACCCTGAACAACAAAGTAAAACCTGAAAGTCGAGGGAAAGTGCATCTCTGTTTTCTTTGAAGCCCAGTCTTCTACGCACCCTTGCTGGCAAGCACGTTCCACTGCCTGCTCCCTCACCTTAAGTGAAATCATCAAAATGACCCGAGCGGAATGGCAGTTTACACAGGTTTCCCACCGGGACACAAATGCAATTCTAAGAACCGGTCCCTCAAAATACAACCCATCTTCCATCCCCCTCCATACCCCCATACCCCCATAGCGCCACCCCATCCCCCCGTCCCAAAATACTTTTCGCCGGGGGGCTGGGCTCTGTACAGCGACTGCCCAAGTTGCAGAGTGGACGGAAGGGATCCTGCGGCTTGCGGCTGGCGGACGATGGAGTTGCTCACCCTGAGAACCAAACTCTGGTACTGGACCTGCTGGTGTCACTATGGGTGGTGTTCCTTTTTTAGGGACCCCGAGAAATGTGCGGGGTGTTCCAGTTTCCAAAATAGACAGAGGCATATTCACCCCCTGTTTCTGAGGGCCATGAAAGTCAGAAACTGAAGGAAACCAAAAGGAGCATGTTTCAATGCATGACCATCAGTGGCTTGTTTCTACTGGGTTGCTAATTAGGTCAGGGTTGCGCAGCTTTGGCTATGCTTTGGGGGGTCCAAACTTGTTGACACTGGCTCTTAAAGAGGGCTGCAGGTCAGCAAAACATGAGCAGAGAAAAACGATGCGCCAGTTCCCGAAAACCTGGGAGAGCGTTTGCTGCGGGCTTCGTGTTGCTGTCCACAAAAGTGACAATGACCATGGCCCAAGCTGAACGGTTCAGAGTCGACACCCAAGTGAATCTGGAGAGCACCCGTGAACCAGACTTCGTCGCCTCACTTGCAAAAGAGGTGAGGCCAAAGGCCCTCAAGAGGCAACGTGCTCGAGAGATGTCCAAAACAAGGGAGAGACATTTTCAATCTGGGTGAATTATAATAGTTCACCAACCTGAAATAAGGTGGTTGGGGAGCTATTCCCCACATAAACCACGATTTGGGCTGAGGTCGTGTGAGGTCGTTATAATTCACCCAGAGAAATGCAAACTAAACAAAAGGGGATGGTGCTCGGAACATACCCAAACCCACGGATAGAACAGACAAACCTGACAAACCTCACCTCCCGCAGAACAGGCGTCGTTCCGCTCACCGGATGTTGGCTGTTGCTGTGTTTTGTTGGTGCAACCCATCAGGGGTCACTGGAGTGGCCCTTCAAAAATTGCAACTTACTGGTGGAATTTTGATTGAAACTGACAATTTGGGAGGTTCAAGGAACCCAACTCTGGGGCCTTGCTTACAAACAGCAGCCTGACAACCGACGCACGCCCTGCTGCCTGAAAAGAGACAATCCGTCGTGCGTGTCTCATCCGGGCCTTTTGGTGGGCACCTTGCCCTGTTCTTGGGGGAGGAAGAAAGAAGCGAGACATGGGCTTGGGACCCTCCCCAGAGAGTGTCCCTGTTGGCTTGCCTGTAAAGCTACCCCCAAAGCGAGTACCAACTCCAAACCACCAAGGTTGGGGTAAACCCGTTCAGCCTTGAACCACGATTTCAACAAATTATCTCTTTGGGTTCCCCTTCACTCGGATCCATCGATTTGTTTTCAACTGCAATCGGCATGCCGCTTCCTGCAAGAAGAGCACTGCGTCCTGCGCCTGCAAAGGAAAAAGGAAAAATCGGACCCACAGAAAATGGTCGTTCAGCAAGTGGAAGTGGAAAAATGGGGCCCTCAAGATGGTTTTGGGATTGGAAATGGAAACCCAAATGACGGTTTCACCATTTCGGGCTCAAGGTGTCGTCTTGTTTCACGGTGCCCTTCTCTTCTGTTTCACGGTGCCTTTCTCTTTTGGAGTTGGTACCCATCCTTTTGGTGGTAAAGGGAAGCCAATAGGAAAACCGTTTAGTCATTTTGGGGGGCGGGGGGTCCCTAAAAAAGACACCCACCCCTCAAAGTGCTTCGACGAACTCCCCAGGTTCATCCTTGGAACAGTGCTAAGAGACTCTCCTTCACAAGAAGTGGCGCGGGGTCTGAAATGGGAATGGGCATGTGTCTAGGGGCGAAACCCAAAGCGGACCGCTTTCCTTTTGATTGTTCTTTGAGGACGCCAGGGTGGTTTCCTTTGGTTTCGCCTTGTTGAAATCCTTTTCGACTTCCATACAGCAACTGGCTCTCAAGGCGGCGTTTGACATGGTGGTCACCGGGTTCTTCAACTTGCTGGTGCTCAGCCGGGAATGGATTCGGCGTGAATCTGGGGATTCCCGAATAAAGGAAACCAGGTCGGAAATGGACGGTTTTTCTCGGGGTCATTCCATTCAATCATTCTTCCCTGCGTCTCTCGCACCAGCAAGTCAACTTATGGATGAACAAGCTTTGGCAGTGTTGATTCATACTCATCAACCCTGCTTATTAAGAGGGCGGGTGGGTTCCCTCCGAAAGGGGTCGGATTCCCCGCTAAATCCAGAAACGGACACCCCAATATTTACAAACAGGGGTTGATGAGATGGGATTAACATTATCCCTCCATCCAATGGCACCAACTGTGGGAGGTTGAATTCATATGGGGTCAACATTATTTGGAGCTTTTGAGTGGCGATCCCCTCGCAACCGGCCTCGAAGATGGGGCGTCCGCGCTCCCCGGAGATGGCGTTGATCATCTCATTCCTGTGAACGAAACTTCCTTTTCGGTCGCCCGCAAAGCCGGCCAGGCGCGGCTAATTGGCAGCTTGGCTGGGGACGTTTTGGATCGGTGCTCCGAAATTTCCAAGCTACCCTCCACAAAGAGGGGCTCACTTTTCCACCAGGCAGTCCAAACCAAGGGTTACCCGAAGGTAGCTTTGAAAAAAAAAAGGTTACCCGAAGGTAGCTTTGAAAAAAACCATTTACCCGAAGGTAGCTTTGAAAAAAAGGGTTACCCGAAGGTAGAATCGGAAAACAAATACCCAAAGGTAGCGTTGAAAAAAAAGGTTACCCGAAGGTAGCTTTGAAAAACAAGGTTACTCAAAGGTAGCTTTGAAAACAAAAGGGTTACCCGAAGGTAGCTTTGAAAAACAAAGGTTACCCGAACGTAGAATTGAAAAAAATGGTTACCCAAAGGTAGCATTGAAAAAAAGTTACCCAGAGGTAGCATTGAAAAAAATGTTTCCCGAAGGTAGCTTTGAAAAAAAAGAAAGGTTACCCGAAGGTAGCATTGAAAAAAAAAAAGGTTACCCAAAGGAAGCATAAAAAAAAGGTTACCCGAAAGTAGATGTGAAAAAACAGGTTACCCGAAGGTGGCTTTGAAAAAAAGGTTACCCAAAGCTAGCTTTAAAAAAAGGTTACCCGAAGGTTTGAAAAAAGAAAAAAAGTTACCCGAGGGTAGCTTTGGAGAAGAAAAAAGACAGAGAAAAAAAGAAAGAGAAAACACGATCTGGTGGACTCAGTCGACTCGGTGGACTTTGGTTGGAGCGCCAAAAACCAAAAAACCAAGCTCCAGAAACGCCAATTGCCCGGCGCGATCCAATCACCTGGAGGCGCCACTGGAGGCGATTTGTTGTTTCGCCGCACAGCTCTGGAGATGTTTTCCTTGGATGGCTGGGTCTGTGTCTCGGATGAGGTTGTGACCGGGTGCGTGCTCTGAGGCGGTCTCTGGAAAATCAGGGGTCACTGGAGAATCACCGCAGAACCCCCGTAAAAGGTTGGTCAATTTACATTTACTGGCTTGAAAAAGTCGAGACACTTTGACAGGCTTCCTTTGAACACTTTCTACAAAGCCCTGCTCAGAAAGAGCTGTTTTTCGTGGCAATCCTTAACTAGGTCCCCAGGTAGAGAGGTTGGAATAAGGGTACCAACTTTTTTCTGTAGTCTACTTTTTCTGTGGGGGAACCTTCCCCCAAAAAAAAAGGGGGAGAGAAGGGGACTACTGGGGACCTAGTTCAAGAAAAACATGGCAAGCCAAAACAAGCACATGTTTCCCACTGTTGTCGACCCCGGATTAATAAACCCCTGTTTATTATTCTGGGGGGGTTCCCTTCCAAAAGTGATAAGTCCCCACTAAAATATTCATAAACAGGGGTTTATTACTCCGGGGTTAACATTCCCGTGGAATCCATCTCCTCCAATCGAAGTGCCGGTAGAAGTGCATGAAGTCCTTGAGGAGCTTGGCGGTGGGAACTGCACGAGAGATGCGGTTTCTTTCGACGTGTTTTTTTTTTTTCCGCGCGCACGGCCTTGTCTCAGAAGCCGGAACGAGAGGGTATAAGTAGAACAGGTCTTTCTCTCACCCCCTCCCATGCCAGCTATTAAAGTGAACCTACCATAGGCTACTACTTCATATTGCCTAAAAGCACCCGTGTGCCGCTGGGCAACTGGCAAACTGGCGCTTTACACCCATGGCAGGGTTGCCAAAAGAATCCAAATCGCTACATTGAAAATCATTGAAAATCGCATGTACCAGATGATTTGGCAACTTGTCTTGTAAATGGGTCATTTTGGGATGTGTCGTTTGGGGAACTCTGCCAAAGCCGTGCAAGAGGAAATCCAACAGGGTTTTCTGGCTCTCTTGGCGCGCGCGACCGTTTCCGCGCCTTTGGGAAGCATCGACTATTCCCGATGCCCTGCACAAAAACAACACTGACCAATGAAGACAGAGGGCAAAAAGATGAGCAAAAGACGGATGTGCGTGATCACTCCCCTCAACTATTTGTCCACCCTGGCGCCGGCGCTTAAAAAAAAGCCCGCATCGACCCCAAGCAGCAATTGCGCACATCAGCTCGTTTCAATTGAACCACAAACTGCCAACTACAGTGGACCATGCAGCCAAATCTACCTGTCAAGTCAAGGACAAGGGTGACCAGCTGTTGTCGTCAAGTCGTGTCGCGGCTTTGCTTTGCATATCATGAAATACAAACAACGCAATGTCGTAGAAAACAAAAAACACACGCGCCACGAAAGTGTCCGAGTCACCAAGCACAAGAGGGAGACAAGTGGGAGGACTAAATGGGGAGACAAGGTCCGAGTCTGGCGAGGAGACAATGGCAACATCCAAGTCGGCAAGCACAAGCAGGGCAAGTGGGGAGACAAGTGGGGAGACAAGTGCGGTAGGGGCAACCATCTCGTGAGGTCCTCTGCCCAGACCTCACCGCCACCTGAAAAAGAAACGACAACGACAGCGACCCCACCCCACCGCACCCCCAGCCAGGTCTCCCCGAACCCCAACCACCCCAACCCACCCCGAAACCCCACCTTCGCTGTCCAAGGGCGCCTGGTTCCCAGGCCGACTCAGCCCGGGCGGCGTCTTCGCAAGCTCGCAGTAGGATTTGAAGCTCTTCAACGGGGGCAGCACCTTGAGTCGCTCGCCACAAATCGCCCACGGCAAAGTGACAGACCCGGGTGTGGCTCAAAAAATTGGGTCCAAAATGGAACCCTGCTAAATGGAAAGGTAGACTAAAACCTGCGTAACCCCAGCTCATTGATTTCGACCCACACCCACCCCTCCAAATAAACCAACCAAAGAAAGGACATGGGGACTTGTTTTCGGGCGCGTCCCCTGGTTGCAGGGAAATTTAGAATGACATTCCCCTACAAATTTAACGTGCCTTGCCCAGATAGGGTGTTCTCCAAAGGGAGATTCCTCTGTGACTGGTTTGCTTTTTGGGGGGGAGGCCGCGGTTGTAGAAAATTGGGAGAGGTTTCGGTGCCCCTACCAAGGTTTTCCCGCGCTAAGGTGATGATGCGGTCATGGGGATGGGAACCTGACTTTTGTATGACATAGGTCAGCTATTTGCCACAAATTGGCTAGACCCCTCCAAATGATAGCTCTCAAAATCAAGTCGCCTCTTGAAATGAGAACAGAGAGCATGCCCTAGAACATGACCCTCTTTGGATCAAAGTGCTGCGGCAGCATGCAAAGAAAGAATCCGGATGCGTATGTTTCAGATTGAGCACCCCCATTTTGGATGGCGTTTCGACCGGAAAAACAAAAGGACAACTTCCTTTTGTGTTGTTTTTGGGGCCCGAGTCTTATGTTATTTTTCGAACTCCGTCCACAAGAAACCAGCGCGGTTTCTGCGCCCGGCGGCAAAAGGACAAGGCCTGCATGGAACCCTTCGTCCTTCCCAGCCCTGGAACCTCGCTGGAAAGCCTTGGGGAGGCCCATTAATGGTGTCTTTAGTTTTGGACCCCCCCTGGCTTCTGGGATCCGTTTGCGGCTTCCTTCTAAAATCAACCAAAAGGGGATACCCTCCAAAAACAAACACTTGTTTGCAGGGACTTGTGTCCCTTTCGCAATGCCCGGGGTGTCTCCCCGAAAAAGAAACCAAGCCAATGCTGGTTTGGGCCGTGTTCGGGGATCCAGCCAGGGATCCAGACTTGATAACTAACTCAGCCTCCCTCAAGCCGAGTGGTTTGGAGCCGAACCGCTGCTTTCGAGGTGCTGGGGTTTCCCATGGACCCTCTACAAGAACCAACCGGCTCCAAACCACCCAATTCGGGGGCTCACGGAGCCTCACCTGTGATGCGGGCCCTACCGTTTAGAACAAAGCGTCTTAATATTCGAGTTCCCGCAGTGTTCTTTTCGCTTTGCCTTAAACCCCAAGTTGGTACCAACAAAAAGAAACGCGGCCGCCTGCCGGGGGAAGCAAAAGCGGGCCCCACCGTTTAAAGCCCAGAACAACCCACGCGGGCCGCTTCTGACACCGCGTCCTTCTCCGTCCGTCTGCGAGTCTCCGGGGTCCCCGGCGCCGTGCTTCAGATGGACTTGCAGGAAGTAGATCACCAGGAGGCTCCTCGCTTCGCTTCCGACAACTTTTGCGAGCGCTGCGAGACTTGCGAGCGCGGCGAAGGACGAGCGATGCTGGGAGCCAGGGAATGAGACCGCAAAGCAGGGAATCGAGAGATGCAGCGAATGAGACATGGAATGAACCGTCTATAACCCTTCCAACTGGTGGCTCCTTGAGGACCAGGCGGGAATGAGACATGGTTTCATTCCACGAGGGTGCCATCTAACCCCGAAGCACCAAACATCTGGACGAAATCCGCAAGAAGAAAGCCATACTTCCAGAACCTGACATAAGGAGGATCCCAAAGCAATGAAATCTTTACCATGGGTGAGCTCGTTGGTTTCCCCCACATCGGTCGATCCATAAAAATTAGGCCTCAAGGGCTCTCAGAAAGGCGGCGAAGAGAGCTCCCGGATGGTCGTCGCACTTCATCCAAAGATCTGCGGATGCAAAAAGCTAGGCCCGTGTTCAATAAAAATTGGGCCCAAAGTGCGAATTTACTGGATACCTCCCTGTGAGGTCCTTTTTTAGGAAGAACCCCAGAAATGGCAAGAATGTTCTTTTGGTTTCCCTCCAAAACCACACCAAAAAGGGGTATCAAGTGCGTCCCCATTGAAATTTCGGGTTTTCTTTTGATTCCCTCATGCCAACGGACCCGGTCCCTTCAAAAGGAAAATGCTCCAAACCGGGACCCCGAGAGTTGTCCGGTTCCATGTTAATTGGGAGGGAACCCTCTTAAGACAACCAACAACACACACACACACACACACACACACACCACGCCACAGCTTTGGGCCGGTCCAGTGGTAAGGCGCGAGGTACCCCTTCGCCGCGTGGCAAATGCCGCGGTCCTGCCAGGCGGCTCAAAAGTGTGGAACCAGAAAAAATGGCGCGACCGGCCGTCCTGTTGGTGCCCTTTGGACCAACCCCAAAACGGACAGCCCCAGTTCCCAGCTTGAGCTACAGTTCGCATCGTCATTTTTCTTCGGGCCACCTTGTTGCTTCTTCTTATTTAACGGGAAATCAAAAGGAAACACACCCGAAAGCCCTATGTATGTTGAGACACACCCTTATGAGTGTTTCTCAAAAAGCGGTCCTTTGAAATAGTTTCCCTTTGAATGGGTGGCTCGTCTTTATTGATTTTTTTTGAAAAGCACCAAAAAGGGGTGCCAGCGCCAAAAATTGCACACCCAAATACCAAGCAAAAGGGGATGCGTTCCATTTTTAGAAACTCCCACCGTCTGACCATAAAACCGGGGTTCACCCGTTTTGGGCGCTCAAATGGCCTCTGGTCGGGCTTGTCAGAAGGCTGATCAAATGCAGCAAACAAGCGGCGTGCGCCCAAATAAGTTGGTCCCCTTCTGTCAATTTGAAACCACAAACCATTCAAACCAGCCGCCAGCTCGGAACCGGCGGTCGTTTCAAGAACCGCCGGTTAAGGACGGCCAAGCAAAAAGGCGTGCGGCCAGGTCAACTGCATGAGTTCTCACACTGCTCTTTGTTTATGTCTTCTCGTTTAAAAGACCAAACAAATGTAGTTGTCACACAAACCTGTTGACCAACACTTGGGCATGTGTCAAAGAAAGCCCAGTAGCCTTGGAACCTCATGGAAGGAAATCTCCGTAACCCTTCCCTGAGGGCTGCAATCGACCCCAAGGGCCTTCGCCAAAGTGGGTTCCGATTCCATTTCCCTGGTGTTGTCTCTAGGTCCTCCAATAGAGAGGTTAGTAAGGGTACCGTTTCTTCTTTCTGTAGTTTTTTTTAGTAGGGGAACCCTCCCCAAAAAGGGAAGAGAAGCGCACTACTGGGGGACCTAGTCTTGTTTCAAAGGCTCATTGTATATGTCCATATATGCGTGTTTCTCACAGTTGGGGACCCCTCCAGGTGGTGTCCTCTTCGTTTCCCAACAAAAACATCCAAAACTGGGGAACCCTTTTTGCTTCAGTCTATTTGAGTAGGGGAACCCTCCCAACCAACCCTCCCCCAAAAAAGGGGGAGAAAAGTTGGCACCTAGCTGGGGGACCTATATAGTAAAATCAGCACACCGTATACCCCCCCCCCATTTGTTTTGGGGGCTTGGTGGATATTGAAGGGAATAACCCCCAAAAAAAAACATAGAATACGCCCAGGTGAGTCGCAATCAAAACCTGCTACAAAAATGGTGAACCCAGAACCATGTACAGGATTCATAGCTGCCAAATTCCCCGCAGCTATTTCGAGCTACTTCTGGTTGGGATCGTCCCCCACTCACCTTCATCTACCCGGATCGGGTTTTGAGCACGCGGCCCAAAAGCCCAGCCGCGAGCCCAGAGGCTCGGCAGGCGAAGCTTTGGGCGCTCCTTGGCCCAGCGCCGCACCAGCAGGATCAGCTGCTTGGAGCGAGCGTCCAGCTGCGCGCACTCCTGGAGCGCGTTGGGGTGGTACGGCGGGCACCCCAATATTGCAAGTAAACCATAGAAGAAAAAGAAAAAATAATATATAAACAACAGAGCCATGGTGGACTATGAGTCGTTTGAAGGATCTCCAGGTTCCGTTGCAATATGTGGGGGGGGCATCTATTGTATAGGTGTGTGTGTGTGTGTGTTAACTTGCAGGGCCCAACCAGAGCACCTGGGCTCGGGTCACACGCTTGGGCTCGGGTCACACGCTGACCCCCGGGAATCCGACGGGGCAAATACAAAAAGGAAACGGGGAGGTGTGCGAAAAAAGGCATGATGAAAGAGGAAGGAAGGAAGGAAGGAAGGAAGGAAGGAAGGAAGGAAGGAAGGAAGGAAGGAAGGAAGGAAGGAAGGAAGGAAGGAAGGACGGGAACAGGGATAGCATAAAGGAGGGGAGGGGCGGGGAGGAACAGACATGAAACAACAATAGCATAAAACCAGTATCGATTTTAAGGAAAGACAGAAATACAGTGCGTTACTTTCGCAAGAGGTTACATTGCAAGAGCAGTCTTGTGCTGTACGAACCTCCCTCCCCTCTTTCCCCCCCCCCCCTCCCCTCCCCTCCCCCTCCCTCCCCTCTCCCCTCCCCCCCCTCCCCTCCCCCCCTCCCCCTCACCCCCCTCCCCTCCCCTACTCCCCTCCCCTCCCTTCCCCTCCCTCCCCCTCCCCTTTCCCCTACCCCTCCCTCCCCTCCCCTTCTTGTCCTTTGCTTTATGTATTTTGTCCTTCCTTCCGTCCTTCCTTTGTTTTCTTGCTGTCTTTTTCTTTCTTGAATTATTTCTTTATTTTCGTGTTGTTCTATAATTTGTTTATGTACTTATTGTTTTCTTTCTTTATTTATTTCTTTCTTTCTTTCTTTCTTTCTTTCTTTCTTTCTTTCTTTCTTTCTTTCTTTCTTTCTTTCTTTCTTTCTTTCTTTCTTTCTTTCTTTCTTTCTTTCTTTCTTTCTTTCTTTCTTTCTTTCTTTCTTTCTTTCTTTCTTCTTTCCTTCTGTCTTTCTTTCTTTCTTTCTTTATTTATTTATTTCTTTCTTTCTTTCTTTCTTTCTGTCTTGCTTTCTTTCCTTTCTTTTCTTTCTTTCTTTGGTGATTCCTTCTACTACTGGAATTGTTCCTGTCAGAAAAACTACATGGCTTTCCATACATCTCTCTCCATCACCAGCGAAGTGCATATTTGAACTGCCTACTCCTACCTCGGGAAAATTATGCGTCGACCTTTTCCTTTGGGGGAATCAAGCTCGTACCTCCTACCTCTCCTTACCGCACCAGTCCGCGTGTCTGATTGTTCCCTTCGCGGGGGGAAAAAAAGAGTCGTCGGGTCCGCCATGAGGGCGGCGTTGTAGAGCGGCGTCTCCGCGTTCACCGAGATGTCCAGAGGGATGGCGTCACCGAGGCGCGCCAAGGCGGCGGGGGCCAGCAGCGTCAGCTTGGGCTCCTCGCCTGCGACGCATCGCTCGGGGCGACGACGCATCCGTCGGCGCGAAGCGACCCGGCGGTGGGTTGCCCCCACAGCCTGGGTTGCGGTTTGAAGGGCGGCGGAGTTTGGTTCTGTGTGGGGAGGTTCAGGGAAATACAGGGCACCCTGTTATGTGCAAAAAGGAAAACCCAGTCAAGAAGGGAGAAAACCACCTCTGGAGGCCAGGCAATGGAAAAGTACCCGCTGAATTGGTGCTGTCCCCTAAGTTTCCGTTGGAAACAATCTCAACAAAAAGTTGGTTACCAACCTCACCCTTGCTACTGAAAGCCCGTGCTATTGATGGGTGCTCGAACACAAAAAAGAAATGCAGCTGTTAAAACCCAGTCGCTTTCGGTTCTGCCAACATGGGTGCAAAGGTATACGCTTTATTATAACCAGTTGCCAAATGGCTAATAGGGGCTTTGTGCACTGCTCGGATGCCCTTCGACCCCCGGTTCATTGACACATTCCCTGTTGCACAATCCAAAAAATCCGAGCAACTCGACAGGGGGGCGGGGTTGAAAGGTTGAATCAGGGGTAAACATTGCTGAAAGTGAGAGGCCTCGGGGCCTAGGCCAGTCCACAACAAACACGCATCAACTCTGGGAAACAGTCCAAGAAAGGCCCCCATGTGGTGTTCCCCTCCCGAATCTCCTTCAATGGAAAAGGTCTTCCGCCTCGAGAAGGTCGACCAATGGAAAGAACCCCGTCACAAGCCACAACCGGGCAACGCGCAACGCACCCACCGCCCCGAGCCCAACGAGTGCATTCATCGCCCATCCGCCCATCCGCTCGCCTCGGAAGGCGGAGCGCCGGAACTTGAAACCGCAGTGGGCCACCAGCGCCTCTGCGATGGCGCGGATCGCCGCCTGGCGGAAAACGGGGGGGATTCTTCGGCCACGAAACCCGGGCCAAGCAGCAAGAGAATCCAAAAGGAGCCTCTGAAAAGGTTCTTAAAGTCGGAACATAGAGGGCGAATTCAAAAGGAGCTTCCTCTGAAGAGTTCTTAAAGTTCCTCAACATTACCCCGTTCCATTTGCTTCAGGGAAAAGATAATACAGGAGACTAAACTGGCTGATTTCTTACCCTAGACCCCAGCCCTCTAAATCACTATCAACCCTTTACAAAACCAATACGAAACTCACTGCGTATAGCAATTAACCACCAGTATAATGCAAGAAAAACACCTTGATGTCTGCCATTGACATTCCTTGCCCGGAAATGACCATGTTCCCACAGCCCTGTTTGAGTTGGACTCTCAAGACGGCTTCTCTTGTACTATTGATAACGTATAACTTATAGCCTGCAAGGGTCCAAATGGCTTAGGGTTGATGTCAATTGGTGTCTACAAGGGCCCAAGAGAGTTTTTAGCCTGTCAGGGTCCAGAGTGAAAACTACCACTAAACACCAAAAGGCTAAAAATCTAAGGAACCGGATGGCTGGGAGCCACCAAGCCACATCAAGGGCGAGAATCTCTCTTCTACCACATTGGATAAACCTCGAGTGATCCCACAACCCCAGACCAGCGGGTCACGGGATTTCCCCCAAGTTGATCAACTGGTGGTTTCCCTTGAACCGCTCCGCATTCCACTTTTGGGGGGGTAACCCAAAAAGAGAAACACTGAGAGTCCAGCTCAAATGACTCCAACTCAATTGACTCACATGTCCAGTAGTGAAATCGAGTCCCTTTAAACCCAACAAAGAAAATGAAGGAGAAAAAAAGTCCCTTTCAAGACCCACAACAAGGGAGAAAATAAAAACGAGTGAATTGGAGTCCCTTTAAACCAACAAGGGGAGAAAACAAAAAACAAAAAAAGTAGGCCAAATGGAAGCGTATGCCATCTCGAGAGTCCAAATCCAACAGAAACGACGCGCGCCTTCTCGAGCTGCTTGCAGTCCAAACGTCGGTCCTGTCTGCCCAGCAGCGCCCTCAACTGCTCCGGGCTCACCGACACCACCAGCTCAATGTCCTGTGACCGGGGCGTCCGAAAAAAAGAGAGTGGCGTCCAAAAAACGAAAAACGAACGGAGGGCCACGTTTCAAGGAAACGAATTGGAGGTGAGTCTCGTGTGTTCGGCTCTTGTTGTATTTCCTCTAGAGACTATAAGATCTGCTCTTGTTGTATTTCCTCTAGAGACTATAAGATCTGCTCTTGTTGTATTTCCTCTAGAGACTACAAGATCAACAGCGCAAACAAGCTTGGTCAGTGCGTGAGAAGAAACATAAGAAAAGCGAGACAAGGATTCTTGGGGGCGCAGGAAAGCATGGTGGACTCGGTACTTGAAGAAAAACGCAGGCGGGGGCGAACCATGTTGACCCCTATTTGAGAACCCAACGATTAAATTGAGCGAGTTGCCATGTTCAAAAATATTTCATCCTAGCGTTCTTGGTTGTGGACCTGCGGAATGGAGCAGCGACCGATGCGACATCGGCGAAATTTCCAGCCCTGCGCATCCGCAGGCTCTTCTGGACGTGGCGGAGCGTCAAGAGAAACGAGCCCTGGGCTCAAACCCAGCGTTCCACTTCTTCACCCGAAGCGAAACTCAAACCTAGGGGTGGTTGATGTCCCCAAGAGGGGGAACCGTTGGGTTTCTCTGTCTATGTTGGGGTAGACCCAAAAACGGAGAGAAGAAAAAAAGGCCCCACCCCCCGCCCCAGAAACCCTGGGTGGGGAACCCCCGGGTTTCTCTGTCTATTTCGGGGTAGACCGAAAAAAAGGACGGAAAACCCCAACCTCCCCGGCCCCAGAAACCAAACCCTTTCCAGACCCCCCCGGTCCGGCACTGCCACGCGGAAGGCGCGGCTGGCGCCCAGCTCCCCGCTCCTGTGAGAAAGGCGTGGCTACATCTGAAGGCTGGAACTGGAAGGCTGGAAAATGGGAAAATGGCGGAGTTTGTAAGGCACCCAAAAATGGAAATGGAAGTAGAAAAGCGGAAATGGAAGTAGACTAACAGCTAGGGAACCCTAGAACACCCAAAAATGGAAATGGAAGTAGAATGAAAAAGCTAGGGAACCCGAGCTGATTGAGTTTGAGCCGCACCCATATACCCATATATGAATTTCTGAATGAACCCCGTCATGTGTATGGTTAATTCGCCCTTAGTTGTGAACCCCATCCGTTTGTGGGTGAACTAACCGCTAGTTATGAAAAGCCCCTTTTGGTGCCTCTAAAATGGCCCTGGGTTCTAAAAAGGACGTGTACAATCAGCCTTGTTCGATACTCAGCTTCTCTCGAATTGGTTTGGTGGTTCGGAGACGGAGTGGTTTCTGAGCTTCCCATATTTGCCCCATACAGGAACCAGGAGGTCAAATCCACGCACCAACCCAAGTCACCAACTAAGGGTTTCCTGACCAGTCCCTGAAACGTGGTTGGTATTCACACACACACACACAGACAAAGCTCCACCGATTTGATGTCTACCCAAAGGTCCCCAATAAAATTCCATACCCATATTGTCATATCGTGTGTCACGTTCGCTTTGTTTGGGAGGGATATTCCCACCCTCAAAAACTTAGCTCCTTTGGCCCAAAAAAAACATGAGGGTTCCCTGCCTGGGGTCGGAATTCGGAAAACCGAACGGAGACCAGTCAGGCCTTCAAATCCTTTGAGACAAACATACATCAAACATACATGAGCCTGGGATCGTCCTACCTACAAGCTCGTTTTTTGGAGACCAGGGGGCAACTCGAGTGCTCCAACCCGTACACATCACCAGTGACAAGACACTCACGTTGCGTTTCCACCAGGCGTATTCATCCATGATGCTTCATGGAAGCTCAGTTTATTCTAGGCCAATAAGTGATGCTTGAAACCACAGCAATGACTGCAGGCGGGAGATACAGGAGCCCGAGGTAAACACCAACAGGCCGAAATCTAGGTATCCCTGACATCTGGAGAATGCTTTTTCAAGCATCATTTTTTGGGTAGGGTTCCCTCGGAATGATTTTTTAGACCCCCCACACACCTGGGTCTTCCCACCCCCGGACTCAGGGTGTTTCTCCAAAGGGGAACCCTATAAAATTGGCTTCCTGTTGGTTTCCCTTTGACACCCAAAGCGAGAACCCGCTCTATGATCGATTGGCAGCTTTTGGCGAGCGAGTGGCACGAAGCCACAGACGTCCGCGTTGGGAAAGAGCGGCTGAACAGTTGCACGCACCTCACAAGCTTTGAGCCGCAAAATCCCCCCTCCAAATGGGAGTCCAAGTATGGACGAGTGACGCGTGTGTTTCCTTGAAGGATACCCTTTTAGGGGCCCTTTTAGGGGTCATAGGAAAGCCACCATTTGAGGGGGGGGGATCCCCCATTTTGCCACATCTGCCAATGAGATCAAAGAAAGCTGAACAGTGCTAGGAGATCTTTGTCCCGAAGTCTTTGGGTTGGGGCAAAGGGATTATACCGGTGTTCAGACAAAGGATCCCATTTTGGTCGAAGTCAAAATATGCGACCGAAGGACGGGTAATTTCTTGATGTGCCTCCCAAATAGACACCAAAAGACACCATCTGATAGGCCATAAACTGGATGTGCTGACCAAATCTTGCCTCTTTTACCCAAATTACCCGCAACCATTTCGCCAGCTCAACACGATGAAAAGCTTTGTCCAATTAGCATTGGAACATGGAAGTAGGTTTGATGCCAAATTATGTGATTACACGACACTAATATACTAATACTGAAAGCAAGATGGATAAATCCTGTCTTCTGCCTTGACGGTGATAGGGGTGGGTGTTTGTGCATGTCAGTGTGTGCGTGGCTGTGCGCTTGTCGGCGTGCAAATGCCATTTCTGAACAGAAGCAGACTGCAAGCCCTGAGTCAAGAAACAGCTAGAGTCAAAGTATTTGTTTGCCCGAACAGGCACACGGAAATTGGGTCTCGTCGTTTTGGTCCGTGTGCTTATTCTTCTTTTGTTGTCCTTGTTTTTCCCGTGGCTCATCCGCTCGTGCACCTTCCAAACCATGTCAAGCTCTTGAGACTTGGTTGAGGAAACCTCAAAGCTTCAGTTTTGTGCAGGGCTTGGGCTGGAAGCGCAAACGCCTCTCCAACTGAAGCCTGGCGTGGGCGATGGAACGATGTCACGGGATCCAACCAACTCCCTTACCCCCGTAACCCCCAGCATTCATCGAGTTTCCTCCATCCAAAAAAAAAAGAACGGATCCCTGGGATAAATCACCCTCTCCATGCCCCTCCAAACAGCGGTGTAAATGGCAAACCACGACCCAAAGGTCAACCCAAACCACCAATCCAAGCCAAGCAGGAGCTACCAAGGAGAGATTGGGGGGCTCCATATGCACCATGGTACGTTCAAGATTTCTTACCTGCGTCATCGTTTCCGTTGAGAACCTCCCACGAAGGGGATGACCATTCCAACACCCAATGCTTGCTGGTCCCAGGGTATAGGGGATGGTGTACAGGGGAACCATGTTACAATTGAAGGGAGTCGTGCGACATAAATGGCTGACCCTGTGCATAAATAGATGCGTTCCCTAGCTCATAAGACCCGTCTAAACCGGTGGAACCCATTTATGTCTAACCCTTGGTCGCCGTTGACCCCTCTGCAAAAAGTTTCAGTTTTTGTGGGTTCAATACAGAAAGCCCTTGATTTACCAAAAAGTTAAAGTCCCAAGATCCAATCCCATAGCAATCAAGCAACCAAACTACCCCATCAAAAGGACACCTACGACATTAAACTAGCCTAAACTTTATTTTTTGAGTGAATTGGCAAGACAAAGTATATATGTATATACCACTGAAATGGTCCAACCCAAAAAAGCGACGTGGAACCGGTCCCAAGCCGAATCTTCCCCAAGGCGCAACCTCCACCAGCCGCGCCAAGGCTGCCTCGCTCTGGCCAGAGGGGGTGATCTGCCCCAACAGCTGCTGCACGTCTGCCTGTGGCTACCGGGGAGACTTTTTTGTTCTTAAAACCCAGCTGGAACTGTTAAAACCTTTCAAAAGACATGGGCGACCACGGATTCATTAACATGGTGAATGTTTTTTTCAGGGTGGTTGACCCAAAAGTGAAGGCTTCTAGGGACACTTCCCCATTCTTTCCAGGGATCCTTCTTTCCAGAAAACCATCAGAACCCCAAATAAAACAGCTGGTGTTTGAAAAGAACGATGGTTGAAAAGAATGGAAAGGAATCAACCCCTGGAAGGATTCGACTATTGAACTGGCATTTTGGCGCCATGTGGGTTTTCTCTGGGGCCAGCGACTTGCAACGAGGCAGTGGAGTGAAAAGTTTGAGAGCGTCTGCCCGGAGACCTTTTGTGCCAAAACCTCGTGGGCGTTTTTCAGAAGTTCCAACCAAAAGGCGCAAACCTGGAGAATAGTGTACACCTATGAATGTGTCTGTATGTGTGTATATATATATATATATATGTATACGCCTGCGTATACACATATAGTGTAAATATTTGCATACGTATATACACGTGTATATACATAGTTATGTATGTATACATATATATCCGCCGACAACAGACGGCGTGTTGGACATAAGATATGCTCAACCCCTCCCCAGGGGCAGCATTTCAGACTATTGCGGGGGGGGGGGGTCCACGTACCACGCGGTGATTCGAAGACGCTTCACTAAATCTGTTCATTGTGCGGGCTTGCGCAACTCAGTTTGTCAAAAGCATTGGGGTGTTCGATTCCCCCCGGGTGCGCTTTCGCATCCTTAGCAGTTCCAGTGGCACATCGCCAGCATCACCTGCATCATCCGCATCAGCGCCTGCCAAGGATGCGGATGAGGCAAGTGATGCTGGGGATGTTGCCCATGCTGGTGAAGGAAATGAAGGGGGGAAAGGGGAAAGGATCTCAACAGCGAAAGGGGGGGAAAGATCTCAGGGAGGAAAGGGAGAAGATCTGGGAAAAAAATGCCTTAAGGGGGAAAGGGGGGAAAAGATCTTTGGGAGGAAAATGGAAATCTTTCTCGGGGGGAACAGGCCCTAAGGGGCAATGGGGGGACAGGATCTCAAACGGGAAAGATCTCAGGGAGGAAAGGAAGAAGATCTGGGGAAAAAATGCCTTAAGGGTGTTCAGATCCTTTCCCCCCTTCCCTTTAAGGCCTCTCCAGATCTTCTCCCTTTTCCTTCCTAAGATTGTTTCCCGCCTTTCCTTGTTGAGATCCTTCCCACCCTTTCCCCCCTCAGGCCTTTCCCCCCCCCTGAGAGCTTCTCCCTTTTCCTTTCCTTCCTTAGATCTTTCCCCCCTTTCCCTGTTGGCCTTTTTCTCTCAGATCTTCTCCCTTTCCTCCCTAAGATCTTTTCCACCCCTTTCCCTGTTGAGATCCTTTCTCCCCTTTCCCCTCTACGGCCATTGCCCCCAGATCTTCTCCCTTTCCTCCCTAAAATCTTTCCCCCCCTTTCCCTGCTCAGATCCTTTCCCCCCTTTCCCCCCTAAGGCCTTTCCCCCCCTGAGATCTTCTCCCTTTTCCTCCCTAAGATCTTTTGCCACCTTTCCCTGTTGAGATCCATTCCCCCTTTCCCCCCTAAGGCCCTTTCTCCCTCTGAGTTTTTCCCTTTTCCTCCCTACGATGTTTTCCCCCCTCTCCCTGTTGAGATCCTTTCCCTCCTTTCCCCCCTAAGGCCTTTTTTCCCCCCGCGATCTTCCCCCTTTTCCTTCCTAAGATCTTTTCCCCCCTTTCCTTGTTGAGATCCTTTCCCGCCCTTTCCCCCCTAAGGCGTTTTCCCCCCCAAGATCTTCTCCCTTTTCCTCCCTAAGATCCTTTGCCCCCTTTCCCTGTTGAGGTCCTTTCCCCTCTTTCCCCCCTAAGGCCTTTCCCCCCCTGAGATCTTCCCCCTTGTCCTCCCCAAGATCTTTTCCCTTGGTTGAGATCCTTTCCCCCTTTCCCCCCAAGATCTTCTCCCTTTTCCTCCCTAGGATCCTCTCCCACCTTTCCCTGTTGAGCTCCTTTCCCCCTTTTCCCCCTAAGGCCTTTTCAGATCTTCTCCCTTTTCCTCCCGAAGATCCTTTGCCCCCTTTCCCTGTTGAGATCCTTTCCCCCTTTCCCCCCTAAGGCCTTTTCCCTGCCTGGGATCTTCTCCCTTTCCTCACTGAGATCTTCCCCCCCCTTTCCCTGTTGAGATCCTTTCCCTCCTTTCCTTGCTAAGGCCTTTCCCCCCGCTGAGATCTTCTCCCTATTCCTCCTTAAGATCCTTTGCCTCCTTTCCCCGTTGAGATCCTTTCCCTTCTTCCCTTTAAGGCCTTTCCAGATCTTTTCCCTTTTCCTTCCTAAGATTGTTTCCCCCCTTTCCCTGTTGAGATCCTTCCCACCCTTTCCCGCCTAAGGCCTTTCCCCCCTGAGAGCTTCTCCCTTTTCTTTCCTTAGATCTTTCCCCCCTTTCCCTGTTGGCCTTTTTTCCCCCAGATCTTCTCCCTTTCCTCCCTAAGATCTTTTCCACCCCTTCCCTGTTGAGATCATTTCCCCCCTTCCCCTCTAAGGCCTTTGTCCCCAGATCTTCTCCCTTTCCTCCCTAAGATCTTTCCCCCCCCCCCCTTTCCCTGCTGAGATCCTTTTCCCCCTTTCCCCCCTAAGGCCTTTCCCCCCCCTGAGAGCTTCTCCCTTTTCCTTCCGAAGATCTTTTCCCACCTTTCCCTGTTGGGCTTTCCCCCCTAAGTCCTTTTCTCCCAAATCTTCTCCCTTTCCTCCCTAAGATCTTCCCCCCCCTTTCCTCCCTAAGATCTTTCCCACCCTTTCCCTGTTGAGATCCTTTCCCCCCTTTCCCTCCCAAGGCCTTTCCCCCCCCTGAGAGCTTCTCCCTTTTCCTTCCTAAGATCTTTTCCCCCCTTTCCCTGTTGGGCTTTCCCCCCTAAGTCCTTTTCTCCCAGATCTTCTCCCTTTCCTCCCTAAGATCTTCCCCCCCCCCCTTTCCTTCCTAAGATTGTTTCCCCCCTTTCCCTGTTGAGATCCTTCCCACCCTTTCCCCCCTGAGGCCTTTCCCCCCCTGAGAGCTTCTCCTTCCGTAGGTCTTTCCCCCCTGTCCCTGTTGGCCTTTTTTCCCCCAGATCTTCTCACTTTCCTCCCTGAGATCTTTTCCACCCCTTTCCCTGTTGAGATCAGTTCTCCCCTTTCCCCCCTAAGGCCTTCTAAGATCTTTCCCCCCCTTTCCCTGCTCAGATCATTTCCCCCCTTTCCCCCCTAAGGCCTTTCCCCCCCTGAGATCTTCTCCCTTTTCCTCCCTAAGATCTTTTGCCATTTTTCCCTGTTGAGATCCATTCCTCCTTTCCACCCTATTTCTCCCTCTGAGTTTTCCCTTTTCCTCCCTACGATGTTTTCCCCCCTCTCCCTGTTGAGATCCTTTCCCTCCTTTCCCCCCTAAGGCCTTTTTTCCCCCCGCGATCTTCCCCCTTTTCCTTCCTAGGATCTTTTCCCACCTTTCCTTGTTGCGATCCTTTCCCGCCCTTTCCCCCCTAAGGCGTTTTCCCCCCCAAGGTCTTCTCCCTTTTCCTCCCTAAGATCCTTTGCTTGCTTTCCCTGTTGAGATCCTTTCCCCCCTTTCCCCCCTAAGGCCTTTCCCCCCCTGAGATCTTCTCCCTTGTCCTCCCCAAGATCTTTTCCCTTGGTTGAGATCCTTTCCCCCTTTCCCCCCGAGATCTTCTCCCTTTTCCTCCCTAGGATCTTCTCCCACCTTTCCCTGTTGAGCTCCTTTCCCCCTTTTCCCCCTAAGGCCTTTTCAGATCTTCTCCCTTTTCCTCCCTAAGATCCTTTGCCCCCTTTCCCTGTTGAGATCCTTTCCCCCTTTCCCCCCTAAGGCCTTTTCCCTGCCTGGGACCTTCTCCCTTTCCTCACTGAGATCTTTCCCCCCCTTTCCCTGTTGAGATCCTTTCCCCCCTTTCCCCCCTACGGCCTTTCCCCCCGCTGAGATCTTCTTCCTATTCCTCCTTAAGATCCTTTGCCCCCTTTCCCTGTTGAGATCCTTTCCCCCCTTCCCTGTAAGGCCTTTCCAGATCTTCTCCCTTTTCCTTCCTAAGATTGTTTCCCCCCTTTTTTGTTGAGATCCTTCCCACCCTTTCCCCCCTCAGGCCTTTCCCCCCCCTGAGAGCTTCTCCCTTTTCCTTCCTTAGATCTTTCCCCCCTTTCCCTGTTGGCCTTTTTTCCCCCAGATCTTCTCCCTTTCCTCCCTAAGATCTTTTCCACCCCTTCCCTGTTGAGATCATTTCTCCCCTTTCCCCCCTAAGGCCTTTGTCCCCAGATCTTCTCCCTTTCCTCCCTAAGATCTTTCCCCCCCCCCCTTTCCCTGCTGAGATCCTTTTCCCCCTTTCCCCCCTAAGGCCTTTCCCCCCCCTGAGAGCTTCTCCCTTTTCCTTCCTAAGATCTTTTCCCCCCTTTCCCTGTTGGGCTTTCCCCCCTAAGTCCTTTTCTCCCAGATCTTCTCCCTTTCCTCCCTAAGATCTTCCCCCCCCCCTTTCCTCCCTAAGATCTTTCCCACCCTTTCCCTGTTGAGATCCTTTCCCCCCTTTTTTTTGCTACGGCCTTTCCCCCCGCTGAGATCTTCTCCCTATTCCTCCTTAAGGGAAAGGGGGGAAAAGATCTTTGGGAGGAAAATGGAAATCTTTCTCGGGGGGAACAGGCCCTAAGGGGCAATGGGGGGACAGGATCTCAAACGAGATCATTTATTTCCCCCCTTTTCCTTCTAAGGCCTTTTCCCACCCTCAGTTCTTCTCCCTTTTCCTCCCAAAGATCTTTCCCCCCCTTTCCTCCCTAAGTCCTTTTCCCTGAGTTTGTCTCCCTTTGCCTCCCTAAGATCTTTTCCCCCCTTTCCCGCTTAAGATCCTTTCCCCCGTTTCCCCCCTAAGGCCTTTTCCCCCCAAGATCTCCACCCTTCTCTTCCCAAAGTCTTTTTCCCCCTTTCCCGTTTGAGATCCTGTCCCCCCATTGCCCCTTAGGGCCTGTTCCCCCCGAGAAAGATTTCCATTTTCCTCCCAAAGATCTTTTCCCCCCTTTCCCTTAAGGAGGAATAGGGAGAAGATCTCAGCGGGGGGAAAGGCCGTAGCAAAAAAAAAAGGGGGGAAAGGATCTCAACAGGGAAAGGGGGAAAGATCTCAGGGAGGAAAGGAAAAAGATCCCAGGGAGGAAAAGGCCGTAGGGGGGGAAGTGGGGGAAAGGGAGGAAAAGGGAGAAGATCTCAGGGGGGAAAAGGCCTTAGGGGGGAAAGGGGGGAAAGGATCTCAACAGGGAGAGGGGGGAAAACATCTTAGGGAGGAAAAGGGAAACATCAGAGGGAGAAAAGGCCTTAGGGCGGAAAGGGGGAATGGATCTCAACAAAGAAAGGGGGGGCAAAAATCTCAGAGGGGAAGGGGGCAAGGGGACAATTCCAAAGGGACGCAAATAAGAAAGCAGGCCTGTAATGTCGGCGGCCTGAGCCGGAGGCACTAATATATATATATATATATATATATATATATATATATATATGCACGTGTGTTTGCTTTGTTGATGGTGTCGGCCGCCATCTATGACATCTGATTGCATGAAGCAAGCATAGTGATTGAAATAAGCAAACCTCAAAGAATGCTTGGATTCAAAGAATGCTTGGATGTGTCTTGAAATGCTCTCGATACGTCGGTGATTCCTAAGTTAATATGGGCGTACAAAAAAAAAATGCCAAGAAGGATGAATGGTGGCGCCATCTGCGGCCCAGACTGTATGCTGTTGCCCTTGCAGGTTTGGTCTTCAGTGCTCAGGCAGGTGCGTCTACCAGAAAAACCCCGTTCTTGGATGATTCACGAGGGCAAGTTGGGCACCTGCCAAAAAAAAGAAAGAAGAAGAGGAGACCAGAGCCTGCGAAGCTTCTCCCTCCCAGAAGCCACAGGTTTTGGGGGAGCCCCCGCCATTTCGCGCCAACGTCTCTCACTGCCCTCACTCCCCTCCCCGAGCTTTCGGCTCAAGAAGGCCAGCCTCCCAGCTCCCAGGCAGCGCGGGCGGCCAAGCCTGGCGAGCCCAAGAGACGAAAGCCCACCCCTGGGCGCTTGCCTCATCGGGGCAGCCCTCGGTTTTGGGGAATCTGTAAGGGGGGGGGTTCTGTGTCATGGACACTTAGAGTCTATTAATGAAGGAAGTTACAAAACAGACTAAGGCTCTCCGAAGCAACCCTAAGGATCTACAAAACCCTAAGGAGGAGCTCTCAACAACCCACCCCCTTGTGCCTTCCCCTTTTAGGGATTCCACAATGGTTGGGTTCCTGTAAAAGGGTCCCCCTTTAAAAAATAAGAAGCACCCAAAATGAGTCATGAAAACCTTGTACCGGACCCTGCCCGAAATACCATGGAAAAGAATTACTATCCGAACCCCGTTTATGGCCGAGACTCCCTTACCAGCCTTCGTCCACGCGGATTTGCCAGTTGTCATCTTTGACAATGCCATGTGGACCAAAGTTCGACATGGATGTCTTGAATCCAACATGAAACACCTCCGAAAAAGAAAGAGCTGGGTATTGTTCACGGACCACAAAAATGGCAAATGTGTCCTTTGTGGTTTGCCCTTCAAAAGCACAAGAAACGGGGCTAAAAAAAAACAAGTAAAAAGACAAAATAAGAACCCAAACAAAAAAGAGAAACAAAAACAAACCAAAACAAACCAAACAAGAAAAGGAGAGAGACAAACCAAAACAACAACAACAACAAAAAAAAAAAAAAAAAAAAAAACGAGCGACCGAAGGCCCCGGAAGCCCACCTGCGCCGCCTTCTTCTTCGGATCTTCGGCCTGAAACAGCCCAGTCACATGCAGAAGCCCTCGCCCCCCAACCACCCCCGCCCCCCCTCACCCCCCAAAACAACCCGGTCCCCGGTTCCCAAAAGCAGCACTTGATGGATTTTGCACTTGCCCTCTTCCATATAGCTTCCGCAGAGCTTCCGCAACATATATATATATATATATACCCACACACACACACACAAACAAACAAACAAACACGCGAACAGAAACGCACATCCTCGCTCGTCACACCTCAAAGTTATGGAAAAACTCAGAGCGCCATCGAATCTTGGCGGCTGAGTTCGCTGAAGGCCATGGAATGGGCCCATTTTTGATGTCCTGCCTCGCAATCAAAGAAAAAAACACCCTCCAGACATCATTGACACCAGGATTTGTCCCCAAAAGAAACGCCCCCAGCCTTTTTGCCCCCCAAAGCGCCGGCACCAAAATCAAAAACAAATATTCCCAAGCCTTTCGCCACCCAAAGCGCGAAGCGGCGCAAAAACCCCAACGAGCCGCCGGCACGAAAAAAAGCCGTCCGCCGGCGCGGGTGAAAAAAAAAAGGCCTGCGCCCACCAGTTGGGATGCTCGGAGGCGTGCTGGAGGAAGGTGTAGGCGCAGGCCCCTGGCCAAGCTGATCCAAGGCTCCCCTTTGGGGACCGCAGCTTAGTTTACCCCCCACTCCAAATACCCGGCCTTTTTGTAAGGGTATGATGTCGACCCTCTGCTAAAAAAGGTGGTGTTTACCATGGAAGCCCAGGTTTTTCGAAAAATACCCTGAGAAAAGTTGGTATTTGGAGTAGGGGGACCACAGCTGAGTCATAATCAAAACCTGGTACAAAAATGGTCGTAACCCCAGAATCATGCTTCAAGAATCAAGAAGGCGGATATCCGCAGCTATTCATGGCTGGGATTCTCCCTTACTACCCTCCAATTACCCCCAGGTTTTGATTGTGGCTCAGCTTGGTTTAGGTGAAAAGCTCCGTGCCAGCCACCCGCGGGTGGCCCGAGATTCAGGAGACAGTGACCAAGAGAGAAAGGAAAAGGGCAACCACCACCGCGTCTCCTCTGCTGAAGCTTCCATTCTGTGACGAAAGACCGTCGGCAAAAATAAAGAAGCGCCGCTTTTCAGTTGATTGATGGTCAACACGGCCCCTTCAAGGGTACTTGAGCCAGGGACAAAAAATCCGCTTTACCGGCTGATTTCAAGGATCCGATTGAAAATCGGGTTTTGGGATGTATCCTTCGAGGAACCCTGGTCAAGGGAACCTTATCCCAAAGTGGAGAACTCGCTGCCGCAGGGCCGCGGGGCCCCGTAGGCTTCCCCCGAGCAAAAAAAAATGGTTTTCTCCGAGCAAGGACGACCCCGGATTGCCTGCGACGGCAAATGCCAGCTGAGTAAATTCCAGCGGCAGGAACATGAGGGCCGTCACCTGCAGCTCATTTTCTCTCTGAGTGGATCGGCCACTCAGACACCAAAAACTTGTTGGCAAACTGTTTGGTCCGACCAAATTTGTTGGTCCGACCAAACTTGTTGGTCCAACCAAACTTTTTGGTCCAACCAAACTTTTGGTCCAACCAAACGTTTTGGTTCGACCAAACTTGTTGGTCCAACTGTTTGGTCCAAGCTTTTTGGTGCCACTAGAATGGTCCAACCCCAAAGAGTGTTCTTAAAGTCCGAAACAGAACGCAGGAAGCAAGGCAATGACGAAAACTGTCAAAACGGATAGAACAGGGAGACCCCAAAAAAATGGGGCGCGAAACCACCAAAAGCCACGGGTCTCAGACACCCGTTCCTCTATTTTCACAAAACGCCACCCTTGTAGGCCGCTCAAAGAACGCGGAAAGTTTGCTTCGAAACCCCCGGAACAAAGCTTCGGTGACGATTCTGGGGGAGTCGAGGCCCCGAAGTCGAGGCCAGTGAAGCCTTTGAGGCAACGGGTGATCAAGCGAAATTTTGGGAGTCGCGAAAAATTGGGCGACTGCGCAAAGAACTTTCACCAGACCTAAAGAGCTGTGGGCAAACAAGGCATCCATGTTTGTTCGGCAGTTGATTTAAGGGAAACCCTTTTTCTAGGAAAGAGAGAGAGAGAGAGAGAAGAAAAAAAGGGGAAAAGAAAGATAGAAAAAAAAAAAAAAGAAAAAAAACGAGACCATTGCACCTCCAATATCACCATCTGCGCAAAGTACAGCTCGCGAAAACCGGAAGCCCCAACGAGCCCTTCATCGTTGGCAGGCTCGGTTTACCCCCCAGGTGAGTTCCTAAAAGTGTGGTCAGATCATCATTGGGATTCCGACTTTGCTCTGGGTTTGCCCAGGAAATCCCCAGAACAAGCAGCATACTGAGGGTTGGGCCAACCAATATGGTTTGAACAAACAGCCTCTGTTTGCTTCCCCGGGCCTTTTCAGGTCTTGCTTTTAGAACAGGTTAGAACAGGTAGAACAGGTTGGAACCCTGCACATCCACACAATCTAGCTTTTGGGTCTTGTCGGATGTGGTTTTCTTCATGCATGAATCAACCCAACCTCGAAGTCGTGTTTCCGCACCGAGCCTTGCGCAAACCATCTTTAGGTCACCTCCGTTGAACCCTTTTGAGCCACAGTCGAAATATGTCGTTCAGGTACGGAGCCCGCAAAAATAAGTTCCCCCTTTGGTGCTTGTGGAACCTTAGTACGTCTACCCAATGTCCCCCAATGGCTGCAGTGTTCTTCCCAAATGAACCACCGAAGCGTATTCAGTCGGAATCCCCATCTCCATATCGCAAAAAAAAAGTTATGCGTGTTTAGATGTTGTGCCTCTCCTTTTTGCAGCACCCCACCCTCTTTAAAACAAACCAAAACAGGGGCACTCCTCAACTATTGACATGGACGATGATGACGGGGCTAACATTGGGGCTTTGTTGATTGGAGTGGGGTAGCGGGGTATTTTGAAACCAAAGTTATCCAAGGTCAGTCATGATCATAAGAGAACAATGTCTGTGTGTGTGAATTTGCTTCGCCACTGTTCGGTTTTAAGCATGGGGCAGTCTCAAGATGGTGAACGGGAAACCAAAAAGGAAACCACCCAGTTGGGGGTCTATCTTGAAAAACACCCTCATATGCAAGTGGGCTGAAACCATGGTAAGTCAATCATCCAACTCCTAAACCATTGTAAACCCCCTTTCCGAATAGGTTGAATATCCGAGCATACGTGCCCTTTTGGGCAAACAAATGGGTATCCCTGGTACATGGATTGAACAAAAACCCCACCCAATCCAGTGGAACCCCTCCATTTCTATCCCCAACTCACCAAGCCACCGATGCGTTTCCCAGGTTTCCCATTTGAAACCCAATGTGGACCCAGGATCCAAGTGAAACCCGTCCCACTAAATGGACCCCTCCAAAAGTGGGCTGAATCCAACCACTGAAAGGGGAAAAGAGAGCACCCCGCTTGTTCAAAATCAACCAGGGGTTCTGCTTCCGGGGTTCACATTACCAGGTTTCCCTGGTATAATCCCAATCCAATCCAACCCGTCCGCCCGCTCTCCACCGCCCCCTTTAGCCGACTGCCGGGCGGCCACGAAGAGGAGTCCGACCCCTCGGTGGGTGGCCATCATGTTCAGGGTGGCATGGGACCGAAGCCAGTCCCTCGCTGCCAAAGTCATGGATAAACCTCACGTCCCGCGACCCCCCACGAAACGAGAAGGACGCGTCAGCCGAAGAAGCCGAAGGAAATACTGTGGATGGACGCGAAATCCGAGACCGCACCACGAAATGAAACCATGGGGGAAAACATAACGTTTGTTGGCATTTACAGGGGAATCGAATCATTCCAGGGTTTCGTAGGTGGTGCAGGATTACGCAGCACGGAATTGGTCTTGTAATGGAACGGAATAGAGTACAAAATCATGCAAGGCAATGTAATGTATTGTAATTGAATGTGTGCTATGCTATGTTCTGGTATGTATTGTCATGGAATGTAATAGAATACCAGGTGGGGTTCAAATCAAAGGCTATCTGATTGCCAGCGACTCGCGACACATACCTTCTGGGAGGGGTGGGGGGGGGATCGCGGGTAGCACAGAACACGGGGTATGTATTTATGTATGTATCTATGCATGTGTATATATATATATATGTATTGAATAAACCTACGTCTACTCCATACGCATTAGATTGTCTTCGTGTCGTGTGTAAAGAACACCACGTCTCCCCCTTGTTTTACAGGTGGTTTATCGACCCGACATGAAGAGTGAGGGGGAAGGGAAAGAACCTCTCTGGCTAACCTGTCTCACCATGGAACTCTGAAGGGGAACCCTTGAAATATAGTGTCTTGTTTGATGGATTCAAAGGAAAGCCCGTACTCTTTCTTTGCATGGATACTGATGAGAAAAAAATGGTTCTTGTCATTCGTTTGTCTGAGAAATTGTCCCATGAGAACCATCTTTTCGTGCCTCATCGTGTTTTTTTTTCCCTATGAAAGGGCTCGAACCATCATCTCTCTTTTTGGTGGCTTTAAGAAGATAGACCAACCGGAACACCCCACCATTTTCGGTGGCTCCAACTCCTTTTCCGAGACCGCTCCGGCCGGCTTCCAGCGCCCCCACCCCCCTCTCCGGCAAAATCGACCAACCGCCGCCCAGGGGCGAGTCTGCATTTTGTAGGTAAAACGGAAATGCTGGATAAGGAGTCTGCACCGTCCGCTCCCGCTGTAGGGCGTTCTGCACGGAGGGGGTGAAAGCCGAAACGGCTACATCCTCCAAGCACAAGCAGTGGAGCGGTGGATCGATCAGTTCGCGGGAGTAATACGTACGTAAAGAGACATGCCAACCAAACGGACATAAGTCTGGGCTGGCCGTTTTCTGATCCCCTGCTGAACGTGACTAACGAGTGGGTTAAGTATGGAAGCCCCACTAAACCTTACAGGGCTAAAAAGCTAAGGGGATGGCTGGGAACGCCAAGAATTGGTTGTAGATTGGTGAAACGATGCACAGGGGCCATCTGGGGTACAAGACCACAAATCGTTCTCAGCCATGACACGCAGGCAGAGTATCTTCATTTCAGGGATGCAAGTAGGACCATCAAAAGTGGGTTGTGTAAGCACTTTTGGGTGTCCAAACATGTGTCGTCTGAAAGTAGGGGGCCACTTGCCAACGCAGGTCCCTAGTTTCAGCAAACACTTATGAGCCTTTGCCGCTCGCACTGCCTGATCTCGCTTCAGACCCCGCAGTGTGGCCTAATTACACAGGACGTTGCCTTGCATCTTACCCCATCAAGTATCAAGAGGGGGACTAACCAGAGTCCAAATAGCAACCCTGTCCCCCAAGCCAATCACTAAGAAGGAGCTTAACATGACGATGCCACGCCCCAAGTTGCTTCTTTCTTGGCCAGACATACCTTGCCACTGCTCATATGATGCGTTTTTGGAACCCAGGGATCATTCAAAGGCGTCCTCTAAAAAGAAGACGCCCCCTGATCCCCTCAAAACAGTGCGCAATTAAAGGAAGACCATCCATCCGGAAAAAACTACTATAATTCACAAACTTGGATATAGGGAATCCCCACATAAGCAACATTATAATTGTTCCACTCATTCCCACGGAGTGGGCTCGTCATGTGGATATGTGTCAAAATCGGGGACCACCAGAATGCTTCGGTGTTCCTTTTGGTTTCCCTAGCAAACCTGAGTTCCGGGTATGTGAACAGGTGGCTGCGGGACTTCCACCAAAAATATGGGTGGGGTCGTGGCAGTCGCTATGAGTACTTCAGCGATTGGAAGGGGCGCCTTTGGTATCACAGAACGTAGCTCGAACAAGAAGAACGGAAAACACAACCGTGCTTTCCCACGTGCCAGTCGTAGGAACTGCAAAGTCAAGAGGACAGATGCTTGTCCGTGACTGGCTGAGCGATGTTCATAGTGGATGAAGGACACACCTGGATGTACCCCCAAATGGACGATTCCCGTGAATTCAACACCAGAACTGCCATGGGAGAAAAAGGCTGCTTGACAACCATGCCAGCAAAAAAGCCGGGTGTTTGGAATTCCCCGCAACAAACAAGCCATGAAAAAGACGGCATTTCCCAAACACCCCAACCAAAACAACCCGCGGAGTCCAACCAAAACAAAAGGCAGCGGGTGCTTTCCTCACCGCGAGCTGTACACCACTTCGTGCCAGGCGCTTCGGCCGGCCCAAAGAATTCCGGCGCTTTGAAGTCTGAGAGAAGCGGTCGGCATGGGTCTGAAAATAGAGCCGGGCATAGGGGATAAGGGGGATAGGATAGGGAATGGCATAGGGGTGGGGGATAGGATACAATCAGGAGGGAGTGTCGGTCTGGAAAGGGGGGGGGAATGGAAATAGGAAAAACGGTTATGTTCAAGCATAGGGTAGCTTATGGTGCCTCCAAATGGGTATGTTCAAAGGGTGTCTTCGGGTTCTCAAGAATGAGTCTTCGAAATGTGGTAGTGTATAGTTTATGGATAAGGCTCTGAAAAATCGAAACCATGATTTGGGGAATGCTTGGAATCCCTCGCGGGGGATAGCGATCCCCCAATTTTGAGACACCTAAGCAATCATCACACTTTGGAACACAGCAGGGGCGCCTTTTGATCTCCATGACCAACCCTGCGTTCACTTCTGCAAGACGGCTCCATTTCCTCATTGCCTGACAGGACCTATTTGTTTGCCTCTACATGGGTCCGAAAACCAGGTTGTCCTCAGATTCCCTGCTAAAAGTTCAACTTTTACTGGGTATAAATGGCGACCTCCAAAAAGAAAGGCCGGGAAGCGCCAAGACAGATGCCTGAAGTCCAGCTAAAGGAATTGACCAACTCATGCCTGCCACCTCTCTCAGGTCCGATATTTGAGGCCCTTCAGGCCTGGACGAGTTGCTTTCGGAGGCAGCCGCTTGGATCGCTGGATCGCTGGGAACGCCGAGGGCAAAAGAAGGACGTGTCGACGAGTGAAACTCCGTATTGGCAAACTCAGCCCATACAACAAATATGGGATTTATGTATATATATATATATATATATACATCGTATACGCAAACATGTGGATGTGAGCAAAAAGGGGCCCGCATGCTTCGCATCTGACGACAGGTCTAAAAGGGCCTCTTGAAACTCGGTTCCCCAGCCGAAAAACCCATCCGCTAGGAAGTTCCCCCCACCCCCCACTGCCACCACGTTTGTGGATGGCTACCGCCCCGGGGCCGGCACGTTTTGGAGCCCCGAAACACCCCTCACCCCAAAAACTGTCCCTTGCAGGTCCCCCCCCCCCCCTTGAAACATCTCTCAACCAAAATACAAAAAAGCGAAACTCGATCAAGCGCACAAGAGGTGAGGAAAGTATCAGGACCCTTCTAAATCGGAGAAAGCCTAGCGGTTCTCCCCGCCTGCTCACGGCGACTTCTCGCCAATGGCAAGCCTCCGTAAAGCCAAGAGATATTCAGATCTCCACACGTCCCTTGCCGCCCATGACATATGTACCTGTATATATATATATATGTACATATATATATATATATGTGCCCACAATATATATATATATATATATATACATACCTATGCACAAGTGCTGCAAATGGGGGCAGAATCTCACTTTGGTTCACATACTCCGTGCTTGATTTGCTTGCAATGTCTGTCCAAGTTGGCATTGCAAGCAACACCACCGCGATGGACCCAAGTGCTTCGTCAATGCTCGAAAGCAAACACATATTGTCAAAACCTGGTCATCTCCAATCAAAGACGTGCATGTTAGGCTACTTTGGTGTCATTTCCTCACAACTCCCAATTGAACTACTCGCACGAACGAAAAGGTTCCGCAACTGACCAAGAAACCGAAAACCGAAAAAGCACGGGACAATACTTGCCCCCCGCCCCCCACCCACCACTACTTGCGAACAGTCAAGTCGAGCCTACGCGGTTCCGACGCGAGAAGCTCCCGAGCCGACTGTCAAAAAAGTGGTACGTGCAGTCATATGCCTACGCATATGGCCTGATATGGCTACTTTCCTTTTTCCACCCAGCAACCGTGAAAGAGACTCCGCACACATGGGGCTGCAAATACTCAGAGCACCCCACTTCCCTCCGCAACTTGGTCCCGGGCCTCTAATCTCCAAGGCGATAAGCACGGCCACCGTAAGGAGTGTAGCCTGCAATACACGTCGAGTCGACGGAAAGTCATTCGAGCAGAAAGGATCGAAGGACGTAGACTCCAACCCACGGACAAGGCGCCTGACAAAAGGCCCAAGAGAAAGTGATTACCTCCACTCTGCTAAGAGGAAGACAATGCTCCCTTCGCCAAAAAATGAGCGATGCGACCGGCGACCGCCGAGGGGGGTTCGGGCTGAACGTCAAAGTACGCAGCGACTTCAAAATTAAATTGCAAAATGGTGTTGAACAAAGCGCAACACGCAGCATGCACGGCCAGCTCACACCGAACGAAATCAGGGCAAAACGATGCGGAATTGCAAACGGGTTCCTTTGTAAACATAAAACCAAACGATACGCAGTGCTTGTAATCTCCTGAACAACTCTGAAAACATATAGAAATGCTGCGCAATGCTAACAAAGTGGGCAGGAGCGAGTTTGAGTCAAAATGACATGCGCATATATAAACATAATACCAGTTCCACCCAAAATCTTGTTTTGTGGCCGTTTCAAACTCGATGTTTTGTCGTGTTTTGAAAGTTCATGTCAACAAATCGAGGTTGAAACAGCCCAAAAACAGGCAGGATTTGGGGTGGAATTGGAACAGGGATGTCCTTGAAAATCCTTACCTACAACCCTCCCCCCGTGTATTTTAGCTTTTGGGTTGTATTTAAGGAGTTGGGGTTGTACCTAGGGAGTTTGGCTTGGTACCTAACAACAACCTGCGTCTTGGTTGACACCCATGGTTGTCCAAAGCTGGGGGGAACGGGGATGGGGTCCCAATTACCGTGTACGAGAACCAAGGCGGTCAAATCCCCAAACCACTACAAACCACTAATTCGGGGTTACCTGAGTTTTGGCGGATTTTGAGAAAGCCGGCCATCCCGTTCTGGAGGGTGGTTGTATATCGCCAAATCACCTACACGGATCAAGCCGGGAAGCCCCAGCGAGGTCGCCCCTTGGATTCCAAGTCGGGGAGAAACTTCGGAGAAACCTGTATTTCGGGCTCTGAAGGAAAGGAGCCTGTTGCGAATCCCCCTCACTCCCTCGAATCTCGAAATCAGGCTGCTTTCTCTCAGTCGCAACTTGAGACGGGTCCTGCGTGCACGTTCCATGCTGGCATCTGGCTGTCGCTTTGACACCCATGTGGGGCCATCATGTCGACCCCGGATCTATCAACCTCTGATTCTATACTGGCAAATGGCATCACTGAATATTTTGATGGGTAATCAGTAGCTACCATCCCGGACCATCCCTAACATCAATACGTGTTGCCCTTCCCGTGTTGTCAAAAACACTTCATGAATCCGACCGGTTCTACTCAAATCCGAGGTCAACAGCAATGGAGGCTAGGTCGCACCAGAGCTGCAACGCAACCTCTAAGGTGTGACCATGCAGTTTCGAACTGGAAGTCACAGATATGGTGGATGGAAGAAGTCTTGCATCACTGTTGAAACAGATGTATGCAAGATATCTTGACCAGGGCTGGCTCAAGTTCTTTGGCTGGCTCCTGTTGCTTCGCAACTTGAGCGCTTGGGTTTCAAACCAGCGCCATTCACCGTGCCCAGCGCCGGCTTGGCTGGAACTCCGCAGGACCGTTTTGATCCTCGCCGGATGCCGCGGGCCGTGGCCGCGAGCAGGGCTGGTCTACCAGCACTTGTCGCCTTGCTGGTCTTCGGCAACCACCAAAAAATGTAACAAACGTTGGACTGGTCAGGGGGGAAATCGTAATGCTTCCTACAATGTCAAACCGGCGAAAAGGTTGAAAGTCGTGCCAACGAGTAGCCAAGTCGCTGCTTCAAAAGATGTCGCGCCTGCTGAATGAGACACGGCATACGCTGTGTCACGAGCTGCATGTACCTGTCAAGATAGCATAGCGTGACATCGTTGCCTGCGGCCAGTTGAGTGGAAGATACCTAAATTGGACAAACCGAAAGTTGGCACAAAGAGACAAAATGGTGACCCCCAAAAAATGGCCGATTCTCCTCTAGTTTCCCTTTTAACCCAACCCATCTGGGGTTCCCCTGCATATGTTGCCTGTTAAGTCGAGTCGTGCGCGAAAAAAACGAAGCGCGGCCAAGACACCTCGCAAAAGCCTCCTCGGCTGCGTTGGGCGCAGGGCTCTCTTTGGCCACGCACCTGCAAGGCCGTCGAGACCAACGAACCTTTATCATTTTTGGGGGGACCCCCAAAAAAAAACAAAGACCATGAAACAACAGAAACAACAACCATCATGTGCAGTATAAAAGGATAAATGCCATAGAACCTGATAATTTATACAGGATCAAGGGGTAACTTGATTCAACAGCGCAACCCCATCCGCATGATTGAGGCCTTTTTTGTTGTAGGTTTCGAAAACGAAACCCGGCAAGGAAAAGCCTTTGGGCCGCCGGGACGCGTCAGGCACAGCTCTCTGTGCAAGATGAACTGCCCCATCGGGGTCAGCCCCTCCGAGCCGATGCTGTGCTTCACGGCTTCCAGCTTCAACAAAATGTCGCCTGGAAAGCTCCGAGACCATGGGGGAACGGCCGCCTTTCTTGGTTGCTTTTTTAGTGAGTTGATAGAGGGAACACCGGCAGGCCCCAACATGTTACCATCAAAGTGGCTCGGCTCTGGCTCACAAGTTCCATGCTTTAGGTTCTCACCACCAATGGATACAACAGCAAGAAGGTGTTGGAAAGCTTGGTTTTGAACGAGTCGGAAACCAACGAAAATGTTTGCTTGATGATTGGAGGGAGGGAAACACAGCAGGGTTGATTCCACCCCAAAGTCAGGAAATGTACCCTTACAGTAGCTGATCTAACAATTACACGTGATAAACTCAACACCCATCCAAAGACAAGGCTGATTCGAAGAGAAGAAAAAAAAGAAAAAAGAAACCTAGGGGTGCATGACGCGCAACTGGGCCGGGTCACCGAATTTGCCCTCTGCAAATCCCTCCGCCACTTCCTCTACAATGTCCTCAGGGTGTGGAGGCACCTCGGATTCTCGGGCGGATACTCCATGGGACTTCCGAAAGGCCGGGAGCAATGCAATCGATTGAGCAGGACCACTTGAGTCATAATCAAACCTGGTACAAAAATGATGAACCCAGAACCATGTAAAGAACTAAGAAGGCGGCCGCAGCTATTTATGGCTGGGATCGTCCCTTACTAACCTTCATCTACCCAGGTTTTGATTGTGGCTCACTTTGCTTTTGGACCCTGCATTGTTGAAGAACCCCAAGTAAGACACCCTCACTCTGAGACCACATTGGTATCCCAAATGAAAGGCAATCCAAAAGTGAAACCTTGGGTATACCACAAAATCTTTACATTCTGGTTCATATATTCTTGTTTGAAATCAAAATATACAGCAAAAACCTCGGAGACACCGAAAACATTGGGGTTGTATCAAAATAAGGGACCCAACAAAGGAATGGTTGGTGTTCCGTCGGTTCCCTTCAAACCCAAAAGCAAAAAAAAGACAACAAAAACGAAAGCCAGAAAAGCGCGTCCAGACAAAAGTTGGCAGCTGCGGCGCGATCTCTGGAACCTCCAAGAGGACCGTAAAGTATTCGTTCATGATCGGATCCCAGACCTGCTCCTCCTGGTATACCTTGGTCGTTCGCCGCTAGATGGGGGCGTTCATGTTACCCCAAGCCTGGCCGAGCCAACCGTAGACTGCCTTGAGAAGAAAAAGACAGTTTCAAAGGAGGCCTCCAGTCTTTCATGCTTGCTGTGTGTTCCAATTGGGAGATCCCTTCCAAGACAACCCAAAAGGAGTAGCTCAAACAAAACACACCCACGCGCAGAACGACCATAGCATACCAAACTACGCACCGTGCTGCCACGCGCGTTTCCGGCTTCGCCGGCGCCCTTCGGCCCCACCGCCGACTTGTCGCCGCCGGCACTAAACTTGTCGTCGCCGATGGCGGCGGCGGCGGCTTCTGGACGCTGGGCGTGGCTCCCTGGATGGGAGGAGCAGTCAGCAGCAGGTCGCGCCAGTACCTCACCACCTCCTCCTCAAAAAAATACGGAACCGAAGCATCGAGACATGGCGGTGGGGCAAAAAACTGGTACCAAAATGGCACCTGGGTAAATGGAAACAAAGACTAATACGCTGCGTATCCACAGTGAGCCACACCCACATCAAGGTTTTAGTTCAAACCAGCCAGACATGGGGTGGGTGTTCATGAAAGCAAGCACGGTTTAACTGCTTTTGGCCACAGCGACCCACGCCATGGCTACAAAAAAAAGGCTGGGGTTTTGGAACGCCCTCCTTTGCTTCGTTCCGAACTTTGGCGTACCTCCATGCGATTGCTGCTTTCCGGGGGGCCCGGGCGTCTTTCTGGATCAACCATCAACTGCTCGGCTTCAACACTTGGCCAAGGGAAAGATGGGAATTGCCTTCAGGACCCTGCCACACTGTGGGCAAAATCCATTTCGCACCACTTGGAAGCCATGGTTGAACGAATCCATTGTTTGATACTTGGGGAATCGAAAATCCAAAACCCAGGGGTTTCTGATCGGTGCGAGCGGATGGATTTCAGCGGATGTCGCGTCGCCATCCACAGGGCGGCTCCATTTTGAACTTTCGAAGGTGGGCATGCCAGGCACATGAAAGGCTCTTTGCTCCTTCGGCAAAAAGAACGCCTTGGCCCCCGGATGACCCCAAACATGGTTTAAAAAGAAGAAAAACTAGCTGAGTCTGGTTCATTTGCAGTGGACCCTCAAAGAAAATGGGTTTGGAGGAGACCCCAGAAACAATGTGGCTATGGGTCAAAACCCTGTACCCCCCGGTGAACATCCCAATCCCCACTAAAATAGGTCCTGAAATGGGTGGAGAATTCACCTGCTCCAAAATGGGACACCATTGGTGTTGACCCACGGCCATATAGGTTTGGAGGAGACCCCAGAAACAATGTGCGTGTTCTTACGTGTTCTTCCGTGTTCTTACGGAACTTCAGCCCCTGGCCGAGAGTCCTCGGTTGCTTTCTTGCTAAAAGTCCGCCGACATTGCTCGGCGTGTCGGATACATAAGAGAGGACTATTGGATACCTAAGAGAGGATAAAGGATAACCCCCCCCCTAACCCCCCCCCGCCCGACGTCTATTACGTAGGTTTTTGGGGGGGGGGGGGGGGGGGGTCCCCCACGTACCGCGCGGCAATTTGATGACGTTCCACTAAACGTAGTCTTCGGGGAGCCGGTGTCGCAAAACAGGGGTCCCAGGCTCGATTCCCCCTGCCGGCTTTTTTGCTGGCTTGGGCTTCCTGCATCCTTTTGCCGAAAATCTGGAAAAACTCAATGTTTTTGGACGTCCTCTTTGCGAAAACGCTGGAAAAACCGTGTTTTTTTGCGGGAAATACTGGGGAGCAAAGGGGAAGTGCAAGGATACATACATACATACATACATTACAGTACATTACATTACATTACATTACATGACATTACATGACATTACATACATACATACATTACATACATACATACATGCATACATGTATGTAAGCATGCATGCATGCATGCATGCATGCACACATACATACATACGTACATACATTACATGCATTACATTACTTACTTACTTACTTACTTACTTACTTACTTACCTTACTTACATACATACATACATACATACATACATACATACATACATACATACATACATACATACATACATACATACATACATACATACATACATACATACATACATACATACATACATACATACATACATACATACATATACATACATACATACATACATACATACATACATACATACATACATACATACATACATACATACATACATACATACATACATACATACATACATACATACATACATACATACATACATACATACATACTTACATACATTACATACATACATACATACATACATACATACATACATACATACATACATACATACATACATACATACATACATATACATACATTACATACATACATACATACATACATACATACATACATACATACATACATACATACATACATACATACATACATACATTACATACATACATACATACATACATACATACATACATACATACATACATATACATACATACATACATACATACATACATACATACATACATACATACATACATACATACATACATACATTACATACATACATACATACACATTACATTACATACATTACATACATACATACATACATACATTACATTAAATTAAATTAAATTACATTACATTACATTACATTACATCACATACATACATACATACATACATACATACATACATTACATACATACATACATACATACATACATACATACATACATACATACATACATACATACATACATACATACATACATACATACATACATACATACATACATACATACATACATACATACATACATACATACATACATACATACATACATACATACATACATACATACATACATACATACATACATACATACATACATACATACATACATACATACATACATACATACATACATACATACATACATACATACATACATACATACATACATACATACATACATACATACATACATACATACATACATACATACATACATACATACATACATACATACATACATACATACATACATACATACATACATACATACATACATACATACATACATACATACATACATACATACATACATACATACATACATACATACATACATACATACATACATACATACATACATACATACATACATACATACATACATACATACATACATACATACATACATACATACATACATACATACATACATACATACATACATACATACATACATACATACATACATACATACATACATACATACATACATACATACATACATACATACATACATACATACATACATACATACATACATACATACATACATACATACATACATACATACATACATACATACATACATACATACTACATACATACATACATACATACATACATACATACATACATACATACATACATACATACATACATACATACATACATACATACATACATACATACATACATACATACATACATACATACATACATACATACATACATACATACATACATACATACATACATACATACATACATACATACATACATACATACATACATACATACATACATACATACATACATACATACATACATACATACATACATACATACATACATACATACATACATACATACATACATACATACATACATTACATACATACATACATACATACATACATACATACATACATACATACATACATACATACATACATACATACATACATACATACATACATACATACATACATACATACATACATACATACATACATACATACATACATACATACATACATACATACATACATACATACATACATACATACATACATACATACATACATACATACATACATACATACATACATACATACATACATACATACATACATACATACATACATACATACATACATACATACATACATACATACATACATACATATGTACATGCATGCATACATACGAGAGAGGGAGAGTGGGGAGAGAGAGGCTTGGGGGGATGGGGAGGATGGGAGCAGAGGGAGGGAGAGAGGACGACAGAACACACAAGGGAGACAAGGAAGAGAGGAAGAAGGAGAAAAGGGAGAGGACAATGTCGGCGGACTGAGCCGGAGGCTCTAAAGTTTAACTTTTAGTGGTTTAATTTTGAAAAAAAGAAAACATTCGTTAGCAAAAAAGTTAAAGTCCTAACATCCAAGCAAAATGCAACAAAGAGTCCTTGACCGACGCGGCGAAATGCAGCGCGTCGCCCAGGGGCCAGTCGCGCACCTTCTCGAAGTCGGTGCGCACCGCGAGGCCCGCAGCAGCGATCCACGCGCGGATGGTGCCCAAATTGTCGTCGTAGACGCGTCCATAGCCGTACCTGGCAAGGGCCGAATGGCCATGCGTCAAAAAGCCCGGTTACCCCCCAGCGAACATCCGATGCAATCCAACCACTAAAAAAGACTAAAATGGGTGGTGAATTCACCTAGCCCAAAATGGGATCCCATTTGGTTTTGACTCACAGCCAAATGTTGCAAGTGGTCGAAACTGTTGTCTAACCACATGCTCCAAAATGTTCAAACTGCTGTGCTTCAGCTATTGTCTTCCAAGGTGGCCATCAATGAATGGTGGAGTTGCTGATTTCGCCTGTTGCATCAAGCCATTTAGGTATCTCGTCAAGGACCATGATTGGACACTGAATTTGCAACCCCGTGCTGGCAATCTCGAATGGGAATTCTGCGATAGACTGGTTGACTTCTATTCTGCACTACTGTATTGCGGCCGAATATCGCAAGGTGAACAACTTGGTGAACTCTCGTGTATACAGGGAAACCAATATTAACTTTTACTAGAACACTTTTGGGTGGTCTCCCCCCTAGTTTCTGCAAAGCATGATTTTCTATAGCTCCGGAAGTGCCCTTTCAGTTGCACCTTAGGACACAGCCAACAGACAGCCTCTTTACGTGCTTGGCACTTGAGCTTGGATGTACCTGCTTTGTAAGAACCAAGCACATTCCCAAGAGACAACTCAATTTAACTGGGAGGGATGTTCAAATCCACCAAAAAGGGAAATATGGGGAAGCCTGGTAGGGAACGTGATCTGCGAAAAAGTTAAAACAAAACAAAACCAAAAAAACTTCGCCTTAGCGAGTAGCCGCCCATGAAGAACACGGCGCGGTCGCATTTCCGGCGGATCTCCTGAAAGAGCTCCTCCCAGAGCGGCTTGTAGACATTGCAGTCCATTGGACTTGTAACGTGCTCCTAACTTGGGTAAGGCTTCGGTCATTGTTTTAAACGATGGTGGAAAGTACCAATGGGGCACCCTGACGACCCAAAAAAACGTCCAGCGGAGGTCCACTGCAAAGTGCCCTTTGGCAAGTCAAAACATGGGCCATCTGAAGAAGTGGTGCTTAACATTCAAAACCATCCCCATCAGGGAAATTCTGCTTGCACCCCGATCAATCCTGAATAGCATGACAACTTTAAATAAGGGCAAGCGCTTGCATCTTGTTAAGGTTTTCCATGGTAAATGCATCCTTTTTGGTCAGGGAGGGGCGGCCATCAAAACCCCCGCCACCCCCCAGAGAAAACAGAGAGGGATATCTGAAGCGGGGATCTGTCCAAAATCAGGTCCCCCGCAGGCAAGGTCGCTTGTGTTTTTCGCAGTCGCGAATCCATGACACGGCTCATGTGAGGTCGGCCCATGGAGGACACCCTACAAAGGCGCGACGCCTGCATATGTTGGGTTGGTTAAAAACCATTGAATATGGACGCGTCTTTATTGAGTTGGTACTCTGTTGTTCAAAGAACGGATCCAGCAAACCGTGGGGAAAAAGAGCGGGCATCCCTCTTTGGCATTTGATTTGCGGGGTCCGAGGCGCGTTCCCAAAGTAACTGACGCCAAGTACTTGGAAGCCCTCACTGCGCTTCAGCATCTGCAAAATCTCTCGCACCCCTCCGCCTCCTGCAACATGTCAATCACTCGCTTTCGCGACGGCAACGATTCGGAACAACAAGCCGTGGTATCGGGTATGTTCCAGGAATCCGTCTAGAAGTACAACCTTCGAGTGTAGCAAATAGACTGGCTGTTCCCAGAGAAATCAGCTGAGGGACCCGTATCAGGACACGGAACCGAATCTCCTTAACCGAATCTCCCAAGCTGCGGGTCCCGCCCAGCCTGGGCAAGGACCCCGCAGGCTTCAGCTGAAAAACATGAACACGGCTTCCGTTTAAGCCCATGCGCCACTTGCGAACCCCCATCTCGGATTTTGAGCTTGGATTGAAACCGTTGACCCGCCCAAAACATGCCAGTGACTGGGGTTGGGACTTCCCCGTCCACACTCGAAACAGCTTTCGAGACCTGCGACATTCGCAAAAGCATTCTTACTTCAGGCCGGGAGCGACAGGTTCGGCTACCTTCAACCTGCTCAGGGCTCCCCACATCCCTCAGCGGAAGTTGATGCAGGGAGAAATCGGCACGTTGTTTTCTGCACATACCGCGGCGAATTTTCACAAAGCCCCTCCGCCTTACTCAAACACGATCGTGTTTTATCTTGCTCCGCGGGATGAAAAACCCATGAGGCGATTGCATTGACAACAGGTCACTTTGCATTGGCAACGGGAAGGCTCCCCTTCCGGGAACTCCTATGGTAGCTCAACCCCAAATACCACGTCCGTCGAACTGTGTCATCTGTGTCTAAACCAATCCGAAGACGAGCTCCCAACCATGGAACCCAAAGAAATCACCATGGTTTGCCCCAACAAACCATCTCAAACATTCAAGGAAGCCCCAAAATCCCATCCCTTAAAGGGAGCCCCACCCCCGCGCCCCATAGGACCCAAAAATACCCCCCAAAACCCCCCCCTCAAATCCAAACCAGCTGGGTCCAGTCCTTTGTACTGCAAGTGCAGGCTGCTGGGAAAAAGCGCCCAGCTCAAATCCGCCCTGAGCTCCGCCTTCTTTCCTGTAGGCAATGTTCCTCTGGGACCAAATTCATGACATTGGAAGATACCAAGCAACCACTTGAATCTTCAGCCAACCAGGCAGTGAGTTGTACAACTAGATGCCAACTGGCGTGGAGCATGCCGGCCAACACCACGCTGAGGGATGGTGTGATGGCCGTCAAACATACGCTGGAGTCTTGGGGGTGGTTTCTAATTGGCAAACACATCCCTCCACTACACCACTGCCCAATAGCAGATGATCGCAAGTTAGATCAAGCAATCAAGCACCACAGAAAAAGTCTTGCAAGATAGAGCGCTAAGCAGGACACCCAAAAAAAAATCGAGAAGCGTATGACTAAAGCAAGCCAAAGCGAAGAAAATGTCACATGGGAACATGCGGGCGCCGTTTGTCCGTGAATTTCAATCCGCTTCCCTTCCGTGGCTTGGAGGATACGGGCTGGCTTCCCATTTACCCTCTACAAGAACCAGGGGGTCGAATCCCCTCCAATCCAAACCACCAATTAACGTTTGCCTAATGAAAGGGACACCTCTCCAAACAGGGACATGGCAAAGGTTCTTGACCCCTTGCTGAGTGGTATTTAAGGTTTTTGACCCCAAGCCCGATTGCAAAAAACATGGAGTCCATCACTGCCCTGTGCGACGAAATGCCAAACAGGTGCCACCGTTCAAAGCTTCTGACAACAATCGGAACCCAGGATGCTAATCCGGTTGATTTCGAATGTGTTTTCAGGGGCTGAAAAATTCGAATGGGGTTTGGGGGTACCTTAAAACCAAGTGAAGTCATGAAGTCATGAAAGAGAATATGATGTAATTGTTTCGCAAAAAGGGACACAAAATGTATAATAATCGGGAGTTCGGAGTAGGGGTTTGTCCATACAGGCTACAGAACCCGACTTGGCCTTAAGATTCAGGGCTGTTCGATGGGTTTGCGTGGAGCATCGAGGTAAAGCATCCGTGCCTCCGAACTCCAACCTAAACCCCAGAAATCTATGTGGCCATGGGTCAAAATCCAAATCGTACCCCCAGTGAACATCCCAATCCCCACCAAAATAGGTTCTAAAATGGTGCACCTACCCCAGAACGGTACCATTGGTTTTGACCCACAGCCATGTCTGTGCCAGGCTGCCATTGCTCTTCTTGCAAAAGAGCGAGCTGTCGCCCAATAGGCCGTAGACACCTTTGGTCATGGCCGTTTCCTTCCAAGCCGCGAACCCGGATCGGCTTGAGCCAACTGCGCATGGATGGGCTTCTCATAACTTTTCTAGACATAGCACAAGAAAAAACATGCGCACCTCAAAAACTGGCCACTAACAGGTGACGAATGTGAAATTGCCATGGACCTGGTAAGCATCCCACGTGGAAAGCCATGATGGGTGTTTATTCCTGGGATGCCTCAGATCAGTTCCAAAAAGCTTTAGGAAAAGGGCAGGGGAACCAAGGAGCCTAAGAAGCCTCGTACAGGGCTCCCTATATTTCCCCTTAAAACATCACCCCCATCAAGGGATACTCACCTTCCATGGACCAAAAAGGTGTCGTAAGAAGCCTTGTAAGAGTAAGATGGTGTATAGGAATGAGGCCGCAGGACGTGCAAGCCTGTGCATTCAATTGCAAGCCAAGTTTTTGCGTAGGTTCTGTGACTGAAAATGCGGTGGCCGCACGTTGCACGTCTAGTACAACTTCGGCATCAAATACAATAGGCTGTTCGTTGTGTGTCATCAAACTAAGAGGGTGGTGACACACTTACACATACGGGTATGTATCCAAGTGGCACCCAAAAACAGGCTTTCGGCTTTCCAGCTAGTGAAAGGCTACTCTCCAAAAACCAGACACACACACACACATGCACACATGCACACACATGCCGTTCGGATTCAAGTCTGACCACCATTTTGTGATTGTTCAACATGTGATACACATGCTCCCTCTTCCCTGCATCCACTTGCCGGCTGCGGCACTCCTTTCTTCCCAGCCTGGTGGTTGAGACTCCATGACCTCGGCGAGGCAAACCGCCGTGCTGTTTGTTTTTTTCTTCTCCAGAAATCTACGTGGGGTTCTGGAAAAGTCCTGGTTGAAGAGCCAAAATGGAAACAACTTGTTGAATTTCAGCAAAATATTCTACCCTCCCACCAATTAACATGGAACCTGACGTTTCGGGCTCCTGAATTGGACCTGTTGCTATTGAAAAAGGTCCACTGTTGCTTGGTAGGAGGGTACCATGTTTCGGCGTCTACAACTCTTTGACACATACCCAAAGGGTGAAAATCCCATTCCGGGGGCGAGGACCACAAGCTTGCTGAAAAGCCATCATGTAGACCAGTGGATTGGGGCCTCAAAACCTTTGCTCCAAAGGCGCCACAGAACCCCTCCCCCCCCCTATATTGCCATAACAGTCGAGGCCAGCAATTCGGACGCGGAACCAAATGACGTTGCTTTGTTTGCCCCAATGCTAGGATTCCCTTCGGCTCCAGGCCGCGATGATTTGGCCGGGGAGGCCCGCATCCAGAGCCGCGTTTCGCGGTTCATTGAGAAGCTGCGTCAGCCGTCGTCTTTAAAACGGATTGCGCAAAATGGGCGGGTTTTCTGGATAAGAAAGACTTTCTTATTCCATCTACAGAGTCCAAAACACAAGGTAACGGCGCCTGTAGGCCGCCAACGCTGTTGACAGGTTTTTCAGGGGCTTCTGAACGTCCGGTGAAACCCGAAAAACGCAGGGTTTGGCAACCTGAATGAGAATTGCTGCCTTTGCCATGTCCTCAAAACCCGCGCAAGCGCGCCCCAAAATGGCATCGGCTTGCGTTTCGTCTAGTCGAAACGCCCTTTTTCACCAAGAAGGCTGATCCAAACTTTCGTTCTACTTCCACAAAACCACTTCTTGTCAGTGTTTTGTCAGCATGGGTTCTTACCATCTGTGAGCATGGATGCGTTGGTGAGCGTGGTGCGCTTGAGCGTGGGTTCTTACCATGTGCAGACGCGGATACATTGATGAGCGGGTGCACTTCAGCGTGGGTTCCTACCATGTGCAGGCATGGATGATGAGCGAGTGCACAGGAGCGTGGGTTCTTACCATGTGCACACACGGATGCATTGATGAGGGGGTGCACTTGAGCGTAAGTTCTTACCATGTGCAGACACGGATGCATTGATGAGCGGGTGCACTTGAGCGTGGGTTCTTACCATGTGCAGACACGGATGCATTAATAAGCGGGTGAACTTGAGCGTAAGTTCTTACCATGTGCAGACATGGATGCATTGATGAGCGGGTGCACTCGAGCGTGGGTTCTTACCATGTGCAGACACGGATGCATTGATGAGGGGGTGCACTTGAGCGTAAGTTCTTACCATGTGCAGACATGGATGCATTGATGTGCGGGTGCACTTGAACGTGGGTTCCTACCATGTGCAGGCATGGATGATGAGCGGGTGCACAGGAGCGTAAGTTCTTACCATGTGCAGACACGGATGCATTGATGAGCGGGTGCACTTGAGCGTGGGTTCTTACCGCGCGCAGACATGGATGCATTAATGAGCGGGTGCACTTGAGCGTAAGTTCTTACCATGTGCAGACATGCCTGCACATGGCAAGAACCCACGCTCAAGTGCATCCGCTCATCATTGAATCCATGTCTGCGCATGGTAAGAACCCACGCTCAAGTGCACCCGCTCCATCCGTGTCTGCACATGGTAAGAACCCACGCTCAAGTGCACCCGCTCATCAATGCATCCGTGGATGCATTGATGAGCGGGTGCACTTGAGCGTGGGTTTTTACCATCTGCACGCATGGATGCTTTGATGAACGGGTGCACTTGAGCGCGGGTTTTTACCATCTGCTTTCCTGCTTGTGCGCGCTTACAGGTTGTACGGGCCAACAGCAAGAAAACCTGAACCCAGTCTAGCCGCTGCGCTTGTCGCGCCCGTGCGCCTTGCTGTCGGGCGAATCATGTTCAGAAAGCGGCTCGTGGGGCGGGCCGAGCTGCCGAAGTGTGGAGTGCTCAGCAGGCTCAAAGCTGCTTCAACATGTGGGCAAGAGCGACACCTATGACTGCACCTGCCAGAAACATCACAAGTCTATAAAGTGACAACAGTCCCGGCGGCTTGTGGGCGCCGCCACCAAAAACAAAAACCCAGTGATAGGAATATGCGAAGGACCGCTGCCTTGCATCCCCTCAAAGCGAACCCCGAGGTTGCCCCCCTCCGCACTCCCTTTGAATTACACAGGCGCCAAGCCCTCCGAGAAACACACTTCAATCTGGCACCCGCTCGTTTCACCAACAAAAGAAACATGCAGACGCATGTGAAACTGTTGGGGTGGGGCCCTATGGAATGGATCTCGGCAGCTCGGCTTCAAATCCGCTTCCCTGTCATTGGTGGTTTGGAGCCAAATCGGTGGTTTGGCGGTTTTGGAGGGGGTGTCCATCTACCCTTCCAGGGGTTCAAGTCCGGTGAAAACCTTCCGGGCGGCCGCGCCCGTCCAAGTCCGGGCGCTTCGACTTCCAGCAGCCCGGACTCGAAGTCCATGCTCTGGCGCCGTCGACCCAAAACGAGGCGCCGCCGGGGTGAAATCCTACGAAACCTCGGCCCCCCCACTTCGGCCCCCCCGGGGCCCCGAACATCCCGCCCCGAAAGCCCCCTCAGAAAATAAGAAAGCGACCAAGGCGGGAAATTGTTTTATGAAATGTTGACTTTGTTTCATTACGCGGCCTTTTTGTGCCGCCTCTGCCACGCCAATACGCATCCTTTCGCACCGTTATCCGACATTGGCTTCAAGGCTCGCCGAAGGACAGTTGCCAACCGGTGCCCGTTTGCAAACGCAAACGTTGAAAGGTGAGGATTCCCAACAACAGTTCACAACCTGCGCAGATTGTGTGTGTTTCTTTCTCTTCTTTGTGCCGTGTTTTTGCGTTGACTCTTGTTGATACTGCGCAGGGAAAGGTTGACAAATTGAGGGAAGATTGCGCTGTTGATGAAGATGTTCTTCATCAGATCGCCCAGATTCAGTATTGCACTGAGTTGTCTGGGGGAGAGCGAAGGCAGTGATTTCGAGGCTGGTACTTAAGCAGCCCAGAGGAATTCGTTTTCGAACAGCATGCAGCCGTGTGGAAGAAGAAGTTGACCGTTCAAGAAGGTGATGAGGAAAAAAAGCATGTACAAGGTGGGAACCGAATCTTCTCTTCCAAAGACAACAAAAGCCATACCCTAGAAACATATGGTCAGACCTGGGGATCTCGAACAGGATGTCCAATTCTTGGGTGAAAAAGTGCCAAACCGCATGAACATGGTGACAATGCTTAGAATCTGTCCGGCTTTTCCGAGAGGACCCCGGGCGGTGTGCACAATGAACCTCACCAGTCCGCATACCTTTTGGTGCGGTATCTTGCACTGACCCCCTAGGAGTCAGAATCCCACCCCTTTG